GTCACCCAGGCTGGAGTGCAGTGGCGCAGTCTCGGCTCACTGCAGCCTCTGCCTCCCAGGCTCAAGCACTTCTGCCTCAGCCTCCCTAGTAGCTGGGATTACAGGCGTGTGCCACCACACCCAGCTAATTTTTGTATTTTTAGTAGAGACAGGGTTTTATTTATCATGTTGCCCAGGCTGGTCTTGAAATCCTGACCTCAAGTGATCTGCCCACCTCAGCCTCCCAAAGTGTTGCGTTTACAGGCGTGAGCCACCGCCCAGCCTGATTTAAGGAAATTGAAGGGAAAGTACATCATACTAACCGATAGTTCTTATTGTCCCACTGCAATTATTTTTCTTGTTTGCTTATAACTACTCAGGGAAAGGACACTACCAAATACGGTATAAGTAGTCAGCTCTGAGTAATCAAGTGTAATGTGTACTTACCTGTTTTCTAAGGGAAAATGCATTTTTGGCAGCCTATGTTAGATTCCCTTTTTACTTATATTCCTGAGAGAATACTAATGCATTAATGACTCATATTAAAAACAAAAGACCAATCCCAGCATTTTGGGAGGCTGAGGCAGGCAGATCACGAGGTCAGAAGTTCGAGACCAGCCTGACCAATATGGTGAAACCCTGTCTCTACTAAAAATACAAAAATTAGCTGGGCATGGTGGTGTGCAGCTGTAATCCCAGCTACTTGGGAGACTGAGGCAGGACAATCACTTGAACCTGGGAGGCGGAGGTTGCAGTGAGCCAAGATTGCGCCATTGCACTCCAGCCTGGGCAACAAGAGCAAAACTCGGTCTCAAATGAATAAATAGCCATTAGCCAGGCATGGTAGCGGGTGCCTCTAATCTCAGCTACTCGGGAGGCTAAGGCAGGAGAATCACTTAAACCCGGAGATGGAGGCTGGAATGAGTCAAGATCTCCCTGCTGCACTCCAACCTGGGTGACAGAACGAGACTCCTTCTGAAATAAAGTAAAATAAAAGACTAGAAAGTAGATTAACAGTTGCCAGAAGATGAGGATAGAGAGGATAAGGAGTAACAGAATGGGTGTGGGTTTCTGTTTGGGGTAAGGAGAATGTTCTAGAATTAGGCCATAGTGGTAGTTGCACAACCTTGTGAACATACTAAAAAAAACACTGAATTATACACTTAAAAGAGATAAATTTTATGGTATATGAATTGTATCTCAATTTGAAATGGAAAAAAAGATGACATACAGTAAAATGTTTAGCATTTGATAATATTGTCATGGTTATTTGGGAAGAGACTTGTTTATAAGGAAATGTATACATGGCAGAACAAGTAAGTTTTCAAATAAAAGTTAAAGACATTCAGAAGATCTAAATGGTTATCTGAACGTCTTTTGGCAGAAAATCTATTTCTTGCTCAATTGTGGGACATCTGACTTTGCATTAGATAAAGTAAGGAAATATTCTGCAGCTTATATTTATAATTTTTCTGGCTTTTGTTACTGTTTGTCCTAAACTTTTGAGATACCAAAAAGCTTTTCTTTTTCTTTTTCTTTTTAAAAAGAAAGAAATGGCTAAGCATGATGGCTCACGCCTATAATCCCAGCACTTTGGGAGGCCAAGGCAGGTGGGCCGCCTGAGTTCAGGAGTTCAAGACCATCATGGCCAACATGGCAAAACCCCATCTCTATTAAAAATATAAAAATTAGCCAGGTGTGGTGGCACATGCCTGTAATTGTAGCTACTAGGGAGGCCAAGGCAGGAGAATCACTTGAACCTGGGAAGCAGAGGTTGCAGTGAGCTGAGACTGTGCCACTGCGCTCCAGCTTAGGCAACAGAGTGGGACTCAGTCTCAATTAAAAAAAAAAAAAAAGAAAGAAATGGCAGGTCAGCTGCAAGGGGGTCAGTAAGGAGACATTCTTTCATTGGGTTGATGTACACATAGAATAAAGTGTTGATTTAATTTTAGAATACAAAATTTAATGACCAAGCAATAGTGACTTAATTCATAAAAACAGTGATATGTATTTGCCTAGATTGTAACATTGTCTTTTGAATCCCTGGGTCCATTTGTGCTTCTAAGGAGCCAGGTGGCCCTTGATTCTTTCAGTCAGAACTAAGCTTTTTTCGTATCTACTTTCGGTTTGGCCTCATGTGTTTCATTGGTTAAATTTGTCATTCATCATGGTGTAAGTTTATTCAGCAAATATTTATTAGTGCCTGCTGTGTTCCATACACTCTTCTAGACACTCAGGATACTGTGGTAAGCAAGGAAAGATTCCCAGTGCTCTTGGAGCTTTATGATACATGGTGGCCAGGTTCCACTTCTTTTTTCTAAAAAACTGTTGTTGTTGTTGTTGTTGTTTTTTGAGGTGGAATGTCACTCTGTTGCCCATGCTGGAGTACAGTGTGGCATGATCTCGGCTTACTGACTACAACCTCCACCTCCTGAGTTCAAGTGATTCTCCTGCCTCAGCCCCCAGAGTAGCTGGGATTACAGGTGTGCACCACCACACCTGGCTAATTTTTGTATTTTTAGTAGAGACGGGGTTTCGCCATGTTAGCCATGCCAGTCTTAAACTCCTGACCTCAGGTGATTCTCGAGCCTTGGCCTCCCAAAGTGTTGGGATTACAGGCGTGAGCCACTGCACCCGGCCTAAAAACTCACTTATTGATGGTAGCTGAGAGATCAGAGCTTTTACTTATGTTTTTGTTTTTGAGGAGGGAGGAGAAGAATCTTGCTTGTCTTTTCTATTTTCTTCAGATCTTCCTCACTGCTTGCTTCCATGTCATTCCTAATCCACTTTTTATGTGTCTCTGTCTTCCTTCTAAAAGGTAGATCTGGTCGTGTCACCCCTAGTTTCTCGTCATCGACTTCCCATTATTCTTAGGTTAATGTTCAGTTGTGGCTTACAAAGGCTTTCTAATCTGGCTTGGCTCAAGGCTCCTGGGTCAGTCCTCCATTGGACTTCTGGTTCCCTCCACCCCTTGCTTCCATACAGTATTCAGTGTATCCTTGAATCTGGCTAACTGCTGCTAGCCTTTCAGGTTTCATCTTAGATAGCATTTTCTATGGTAACTCTTCCCTAACCAAACTTCCCATCCCTCCCCAGTTTGGGGTATTCCTCCCATATATTGCTATGGTACCCAGTGATGCCATTGGCCAGCTACTTGATCATACTCCCTGCCATTGACTGTGGCTACCACTGGGTAGTCTTTGTCCTCCTTATGTTATCCCCCAATTCTTAACTCTGTCTGGAACATAGTACGTACTCAGTAAACGTTTGCTTGTTTCCTCTAATAGTCTATCTGTGAAATGCTTTGCCAAGCGGATATTTAACTGAATCAGTGACTGATTGACTGATTTTTTTTCATCTTGGAGTATATACCAGTTACAGAGGAATGTACCCCCCTCCAAAAATATGTATATACATATGTCTTCATGTTCTACATCATCTATATTTTCAGTTTGGCCTCATGTGTTTCATTGGTTGAATTCGTCATTCATCATGGTATAAGTTTATTCAGCAAATATTAATTAATGCCTGCTATGTTCCATACACTCTTCTAGACACTCAGGATACTGTGGTAAGCAAGGCAAAATTGCCAGTGCCCTTGGAGCTTTATGATACATGGTGGCCAGGTTCCACTTCTTTTTTCTAAAAAAACTGTTGTTGTTTTTGAGGTGGAGCGTCACTCTGTTGCCCAGGCTGGAGCACAGTGGCATTATCTCAGCTCACTAACTACAACCTCTGCCTCCTGGGTTCAAGTGATTCTCCTGCCTCAGCCTCCGGAGTGGCTAGGGTTACAGGTGTGCATCACCACGTCTGGCTAATTTTTGTATTTTTTTTTTTTTTTTTGAGACGGAGTTTCGCTCTTGTTACCCAGGCTGGAGTGCAATGGCGCGATCTCGGCTCACTGCAACCTCCACCCCCTGGGTTCAGGCAATTCTCCTGCCTCAGCCTCCTGAGTAGCTGGGATTACAGGCACACGCCACTGTGCCCAGCTAATTTTTTGTAATTTTAAGTAGAGACGGGGTTTCACCATGTTGACCAGGTTGGTCTCGATCTGCCGACCTCGTGATCCACCCGCCTCGGCCTCCCAAAGTGCTGGGATTACAGGCTTGAGCCACCGCGCCCGGCCAATTTTTGTATTTTTAATAGAGACAGGGTTTCTCCTCTACAGAGTCTGCTTTGTCTCTCCAGCTGAACAATTTAAAGGCTCATTTTTGCTACTTTTCAGAAATTGGATCACTTATCCAAATCTTTTTATGGAAGCTTTGAAGGTAAAGTAATATTTAGTCGTTACCTGTGAGTAATAATGGCTTTAGATATTTTCTAGTGTAAGATGTGTTAAAGCAGTTGTATAAAGTGGACCTTATAGTGTATGTGTCAGATGTTTTAAGGGAATGAAGAGTCTGGGCACACTGGCTCATGCTTGTAATCCCAGCACTTTGGGAGGCCAAGACAGGGGAATTGCTTGAGGCCAGGAGTTCAAGACCAGCCTGCAATACAGTGAGATCCCATTTCTACAAACAAATTTTTTAAATGAATAAATGAAGATAAATATGCCTAGAAACTAGAGCCTGTTCGACTCCTCTGGGGAAACTGATCTATGAAAGCACTGATGCTTGTGAGATATGAGACTAAATCCACCAAATCTGAGCTTCTGGATTAGACTTTTTTGGTTTCAGCGGAATTAAGTTTATACAGCCTATTTATATTTTCCTCGAAAACCTTACCAGGGATCTTAATTTTTAATTTTTTTCTTAACTGTTTAATGATTTCTAATTTATAGTTTTAAAAAGTTGTCCTTTAGTAAAAATGATAAAAGTATATCTGAATAGTCATTGTTTTATTTTGCTTTTCTCCCCTTTAATCTAGGAATGTAATGGCATTTTATCCTACTTTTTGTTTGTTATCTGACATAAATATGCTTTGTCTGGTTCTGTATAATTGGCTTTTGTCATTTCAAGTAATACTGATAATAAATTTCTTATTATTCTAACTGGAGTTTTGTTTTTCCTCTCTTTATCTAGTTGTTGTGGAATTATAAGCTGAACCTAACTACAGATCCCAAATTTGAATCTGTGGCCAGAGAGGTTTGCAAATCTACCATAACAGAGGTAAGTTGTGAACGAAATTTGGAGGTAGCTAATGTCTTAGAAGAGAAAATTCTATCTGTTGACCAGACCAGCCCTTACGAGAATGACTCAGTTACTTTTCTTAGACTTCACATCTGTCTTGGTTGAAAGTTAGGAAGTTGCAGGGGTGTAATTAGACTCTTTTTGTTAATGTCCACCTACACTTAACATTAGGATAAAGGCAGTTGGAAATCAGATTCTATTGGTCTCAAAACAGCAAATGAAAGTGCTTAGGTAGTAAGTTCTACTCTCACACGTGGGACAGCTTGTTATGTCTAAAGCATATCAGCACGGTTAAAAGAGGCCTGTCAGCATTCCTATTTTGACTGTGCAGTTGGATCAGTTGAACCACAGAGGTATATACTTAAAATAATAGGAATTAGTGTCAAAAAGGTTTAAGATTTTTAAAATCTTTTAAAAATAATTGGCCCAGTGTAACCAACAATATTAATAATAAAAATGAAAGTTATGGTACTTGAAATGCGTTTTTTTAGGGTTTTGTTTTTTTTTTTAAATCAGTAAGAGAAACTCCAGCAAGCCAGAGTTTCTGAATACTGGAATATGAGAATCACAGAGAAAACAGCTACTATTTTTCCACCCCGGAATTAACAGTCATAGATCTCGCACCATATTAATCTTTCCCTCAAGCTGGTCCTATTGATGAATTAAGTCAGGGCCACATTCTTCAGAGCTCTTAAAGAAGGCCCTGTCTCATTCAGATAAGCCATCAGCCTATTTTCCTCATGTCATTATGGAGTCTCATAGAACTTGTTTTCTCAAACCTTCTAATACTGGATCAGAGATGTTTTATTCTTTTAAAGCAGTGACCCAGCCGGGCGCGGTGGCACACGCCTGTAATCCCAGCTCTTTTGGAGGCCGAGGCGGGTGGATCATAAGATCAAGAGATCAAGACCATCCTGGCCAACATGGTGAAACCCTGTCTCCACTAAAAATACAAAAAAATTATCTGGGCATGGTGGCAAGCGCCTGTAGTCCCAGCTACTTGGGAGGCTGAGGCAGGAGAATTGCTTGAACCCGGGAGGCGGAGGTTGCAGTGAGCCAAGGTCACGCCACTGCACTTCAGCCTGGTGCCTGGTGACGGAGTGAGACAAAAAAAAAAAATCAGTGACCCTTCCTGTTTACCCTGGGGCTTCTTCCAAGCAGAAAGACCTGTCTTTGGAAAATTGATCTTTAGCTCCTAGCTTTAATATTCTACATCTCAAACTCCCTTAGCTAGCTATATGACTAAACCTCTACCTTTAAAACATCAAGGGCAAAAGTGTTTGCTTAATAACAAAACTCAATACAAAGAAATTAGTCCCAGGCTCGAACTTTAAATGTTTGTATTTTCCCTCTGTATTGTGGTACTATACAATTATTAGTTTTTTTATGTTTTGAGACAGAGTCTCACACTATAGTCCATGTTGGAGTGCAGTGGTGCCATCTTGGCTCACTGCAACCTCTGCCTCCTGGGTTCCAGCAATTCTCCTGCCCAGGCTCCCAAGTAGCTGGGATTACAGGTGTGTGACACCACAGCTGGCTGATTTTTGTATTTTTAGTAGAGACACGGTTTTGCCCTGTTGGCCAGGCCGATCTTGAACTCCTGACCTGTGATTCACCATGCCTGGCCATAAGTAGTTTTTTTTAAGAGACACATTGGGAGAGATACATAGACACACACACATATATGTTTGTTTTGCCCCATTTTGTGTCACCATTAAATGCATACCAGCTTGATTGCCCTGGAGAAATTTAGTTGAATAAAATATGTGTGTGTGTGTGTGTGTATTTTTTTTTCCCACTAGAATAATTTCACTCTTTGCATTAGGCTGGCTTCCATATAATGTGTCTATCATGATTGTCCTCTGTGACCTTTTTGGGTGTTTTGGTTTTGTAAAGATTAGCGTTAGCAAGGACACTTCTCCCTCTCAAAGGAAGATTATACTGGAGTCAGCAAAATTAAATATCAGGAAGAAAACAGTTGCCAACAAGACATTTCATTCTAGATTTTCCTTTTATTGTCTTTCTTAAATTTGGAACCCTACTCCCAGGGAGAAAAACAACATCACAGGAATACCTGCAAACTTTTAATACAAGCCAAACTTGTATTAAATCTAAATTTAATTGTATTAAATATAAATTGAGGATTTAGCTCAATATCCAGAATTGAGCTAAATCCTACCTGCTTTCCTCCTGGCTCCTGTCAAAAAATAGAGGGACCGCAGCATTTTGCTAATGGTACCTTGTCATTCTGCTCCCCAGCCACTTTAGAGTTTACTTCTATTCTTAAATATGTTGATGATGATTTTGTGCCCCTTTTTGCTGTTAATCTTAGAAGTTTAATAAGATAGAAGGAAAAAGTGCTATCCAACAGAATGAAGAAAGGCGCAGACTTCTCATTCAAACACTACGCCCTGTTATAATAGGAGTAGGTGACACATCTCTGTGTTTCAGTGAAATCTCAAGTGATTGTAGCTAAAATTTACATTTAGCTTCTTATTGAGGCTGCAGTTCAAAATGTGCTCTTGGTTTTCTTAGAGGTGTTTTAAAACTTTGGGTTGCCCAGTAATTAGGGCCTGGAAAAAGGTTTCTCTGTTTCATTAAGTGGGTGCCTGCCACTAGTCCTATTTTTTATCCAGTGTTTTTTCTGTGATTGAATTACAAGTGCTGGGATTTTCAAGCATCTATTCCTCTTTCAGTTTTCAAACTTACCTCTGTTTTGTTAGGGATAAAAAAACTTTTCCAGGAAATAAGAGTCCTGGCCCTCTTTTTTTTAATTTTGAGATGGTGTCTTGCTCTATCACTCAGGCTAAAGTGTAGTGGTGTAATTTTGGCTCATTGCAGCCTCCACCTTCTAAGTTCAAGTGATTCTCCTGCCTCAGCCTCTTAACTACCTGAGACTACAGATGTGTGCCACCATACCTGGCTAATTTTTGTATTTTTAGTAGACAGACAATGGAGTTTTCCCATTTTGGCCAGGCTGGTCTCAAACTCCTAACTTCAACTGATCCACCCACCTCAGGCTCCCAAAATGCTGGAATTACAGACATGAGCCTTCTTTTTAGTCATCACAAAAACTTACTTGGCATTAAACTAAAATAATTGCATTCATCTTAACTTGAAAATCTCTACTGCCTCTGATGCCAGTATGAGACCGTTTACTAAATTCTCAAGTTGGCTTCTTTAAAAGTAAATGCAGCTGGCTGGGCGTGGTGGCTCTCGCCTGTAATCCCAGCACTTTGGAAGTCTGAGGTGGGTGGATCATGAGGTTAGGAGATCAAGACCATCCTGGCCAACATGGTGAAACCCCATGTCTACTAAAATACAAAAAAAATTAGCCAGATATGGTAGTGCACAGCTACTGCAGAGGCTATAGTCTCAGCTACTGTGGAAGCTGAGGCAGGGGAATCACTTGAATCCGGGAGGCAGAGGTTGCAGTGAGCCGAGATCACGGCACTGCACTCCAGCCTGACGACAGAGCGAGATTCAGTCTTAAAAAAATAAAAATTAAAAAAGTAAACACAACTTTCTGTTTTGAACTGAGTTATTTTTGTGGTCCGGATTTGATACTGGAGTTAGAGGTGAAGAGACTCATTTTCATATAGGATATAATTCCTCTGTGGTATGTCCTTTGTGCAGCACCTTTAGATAGCCTAATGGGGAGAATGGTCTCTGTTGGTTTTAAAGTACAAATAAAACATTCTTTCTTGTTTATATTCAAAATAAACATTCCCATTTAACTCCTTCCTCTTGTCAGAATTGCCACTTCAATTTGTTTTAATTTCCCCACATGCAATAGGCTTTTTTCCAAACAACCTGCTCTGTTTTATAATTCGAGCTTATAATTCTATTAGTAGGTTTTACTTTTGTCTGAATTTCAGCATTTTGGGGCAGTTTGATTTATTAGCGTTTTGTGGTTTGGAATGCACTTTGCAGGAACACTACCATGCAGAATCACTCTGTGCATGTTCCACTAGATTATATGTCTAAACCACCCAAACTAGGTTTGCAGTGGCCTTCCCAGACTTCTTGCTCAACTGCACTGAACATTGTTTTAAAAATGCTTCTGTCCCAGACCACAGCAGTTAAGTTTGGATTTTACTAATTTCAAAAACACATGTTCAATCCCTAGTTAATTCAGAACACATTAATGTGATGTCAAGAAGTAGGCCTGTTGTGGTAGCTCACGCCTGTAATCCCAGCACTTTGGGAGGCCAACACGGGCACATCACCTGAGGTCAAGAGTTTGAGACCAGCCTGGTCAACATGACAAAACCCCAGCTCTACTAAAAATACAAAAATTAGCAAGATGTGGTGGCATGAACCGGTAGTCCCAGCTACTTGGGAGGCTGAGGCAGGAGAATCACTTGAACCCAGGAGGCAGAGGTTGCAGAAAGCCCAGATCATGTCATTGCACTCTAGCCTGTGTGACAGAGCAAGACTCCGTCTCAAAAGATAACAAATAAAAATAATGTCATGTCAAGAAGTAATACTACACCTTCCCTCCTGTCTTTCTCTGGCCATTAGGTTTACCTAACAGTAATAGTTTGCTGTGTACCTTGGTTTGGGATGTGCAGCTAGACTTCACTTCTGCACCTGTTTGTCAGACCTTCCTCCCTAGATTCATCCCCTCACTGTCCATTGCATTCTTTGCGTGGTTACAAGGACTTCTCCATAGGATCACGCCAAAGCTGTAAATGTTAACAGCTCTTTTCACTCCATTTAGAAGTGAGCGTTACCTAAGCATTTGGATATGTATGTAATTTCTTGCAAAACACATTAATCAGGTTTTTTAAGAAGGCACAACAATCTGAGTAGCGATGACACAGTATTTTTCTTTAAAATGAATGTATTCCTAAATGTTTTCTTTGGATATATTCCTAAGAATTTTTCTTTATTTTCTCTGAAGTAAAAAATTAGGAAATCAATAGGAAAATGTCAGACATTTTTCTCTTTCATAAATATTGTTTGTTACAAGCACGGAACACTTTTGTAAAACAGCCACTTTATTTTGAGCAGATTAAAGAATGTGCTGATGAACCAGTCGGAAAAGGGTACATGGTTTCCTGCTTGGTGGATCACCGAGGCAACATCACTGAGTATCAGTGTCACCAATACATTACCAAGATGACGGCCATCATTTTTAGTGATTACCGTTTAATCTGTGGCTTCATGGATGACTGCAAAAATGACATCAACATCTTGAAATGTGGCAGTATTCGGCTTGGAGAAAAGGTATCTAATACTACATTGGCTTCAACAAAGGGTCTTAAAAATTTGGTGTGTGAAAAGCTTTTATAACTGCCATGGAAAAAAAAATTAGGACTGGAGTGACCTTAAGTTGAAATTAAAGAAACTTGTCCAGACAGCCTAAAAGCTAAGGCTGGTTGACAGTGCATTTCATGTGTTTGTAGTGAAATAATTTCAGCACTATATGGGAAGTAGAGGAATTAATACCTGCAAAGAGTGGTGGTGTTTTCATAGTATTAGAGTAGTTGCTGGTTACCTATGTCTCTGGCAATGGGGGACACCTGAGTTCTGTTTTGTTTTGGTTTGGTTTTTTTTTTTTGAGACAGAGTCTCCCTCTGTTGCCCAGGCTGTAGTGCAGTGTTAGGATTTCCGTTCACTGCAGGCTCCGCCTCCTGGGTTCAAGCGATTCTCCTGCCTTGGCCTCTTGAGTAGCTGGAACTACAGGAATGCACTACCATGCCTGGCTAATTTTTGTATTTTTAGTAGAGATGGGGTTTCACCATGTTGGCCAAGCTGGTCTCGAACTCTTGAACTGAAGTGATCTGCCCGCCTGAGCCTCCCAAAGTGCTGGGATTACAGATGTGAGAGCTACCCCACCCAGCCGAGTTCTTTAATCTTTCCCTGCATATACCTCGTGGTTACTATAAAAAACAATTACTTAGCATACTGGCTGCTGTCCATGTATAAAATATTAGAAAAATTTAAGATATGTGAAGATACTTCTAGTTTGTCGGAAGAAAGGTCCTCTCTAAATGGGATGTATTATTAACTTTCATCTCAGAGGAACTGATTTTAGTAAAGACAGGAAAGAATATAACTACCTAGCTAGTTTCTTCCACAGTTGTATCTGATCTTATTTTTGGACGTAGTCTGCTGAACAGAAGGTCACAGTAGAGATTTGGCCAGGTTTATCCTGAATTTGTTTGTTCACCAAAAGTGAAAAAAACTCCTGAAAAGTAATGGATGCCAGTGGGAGAGGGAGTCTGAGACCTCTGGCATCAGCTGTTAATTGCTGCTGCTCATTAATCTGCTGTTCAGAAAATATGATGGAAAATAAAACCCATTCGTCCCTTTGCCGTCTATTTGTTCATAGTGGCAGATGTCACTGATAAAGGGGACATGGTGTTAGGATCCTGGAACTGAGCACACAGTTCAAATGCAGTATTGTCTGGCTGTCACTGAAGCCTGGAAGCACAGGGCCTGGTCCCTTATCAGAGGGTACCGCTGAGTTGGTCCTGAAAACTCTGTGAGCTTGGCATAAATCCTTCAGGCAAGTAAAGAAAGGGCAGCTTTAATAAAGAACACAGTGTTTTCTTTCCCAGTAGACTCTAAAAATGGCACAAAAGCACTTAAGTCATTCTGATGATTCAGGAAGCTCCTCAGACTTTTTTTAGGATGTTGAAAATTATACCCAATTCCAAACCTGACTCTTTTTAAAATTCCACATGGTGTTCCAAACATACTTTTCAGGAATCAGCGATGAGGCTTTTTCACCCTCGTGATGAGTGCTCCATGCAGTAAAGCCAAGAGTTTCAGTCCCTCTGTGGAGTAGTTCTTTCCTGGTAACCACCAAGGTGGCAGTCCATTAGCCTCCCTTTAACTCTCTAAATTGTCACCTGCATATATGAGTTAGTAAGCCCGTAGTGACTGAAACAATCGCAGAAAATAGTACTGCTGGAGCCAAAAGCATGGCAGAATTTTTTATTTGACTTAGATAAAATCGCAAAAATTATTTCTGTGGACCAAAGATAGAAATGACACTTTTGTCATTTAATCTTTCAGTATGGCTACTAGTTAGGTGAAATTTCAGTTTATACCAGGTCACTATGCCAGCATCAAAGGCTTTCTTATATTTGGGGAACAGTGAGATGGACTCATACTTGAACTTGAAAAAGCCTCTTCCTTCCTTTGTCATTTACTCTGTGCTACAACCAAGTTTAAAAAAAAAGAGGAAGGCATGTGCTCAGCTCTTCTGTTCCTTTTCTAACTGTACTTTCTTCTCTGAAGCCAGTTATTTAGATAGAAAAATTATCCTGAAAATTAACGAAGTGGCTTCTGAACACAGAAAACAACAGGCTTGTCAGTTTCAAACTTGCTGCCACTGAAGCTTGAAACTCTTCTATGACTGGTTGTGACCTCACCTCCTCCATAGGTCAGAGGAGAGGAGTCATGGTTAATCTTTTTTGGACCTTGCCCTTGTATGAACACATAAATGTAATGATTTCAAAACTATGATTTTTGGCCAGGTGCGGTGGCTCACACCTATAATCCTAGCACGTTGGGAGGCCAAGGTGGGTGGATCACCTAAGGTCAGGAGTTCAAGACCAGCCTGGCCATCATGGTGAAACCCCAACTTTAAAACAAAACAACGACAACAAAAAAAACCTGTGACTTTTTCAAAATGTTAAATTTTAGAGGGAAAAAGATATATTAATAAAGCCTTTAGCATTTTCTATAGTAATAAATGCTGTTAAAACGAAAGGGCAGATTTCCAAAAGCAAAGGTTTAAATGATTTACGTCATCTGAAGAAAAAGAATGTGGTTTCCAACAAAGGAACTTCACTGCGGACATGTGCGACTGTATTGGTGCCTTTATGCTTTTCTCTCAGTAGTTGTATCATTTGTTATTTCCTGCTTCTGACCAGTTTGAGTAATTCTGATAATCCTTTTTCCTTTATTCACTGAGGTAAATCAGAGAAGACAGCAGCAGAAGTATTGTAATAGAGAATGGTTTATAGCAGAGATGAAAACCGAGTTCTTGCCTACTATTGAGAAGTTAGCGTTAGTCTCTGTTGTAGTTTGAGTTTTTTTGTTTATGTGTTTTTTCGTGGGGGTCGTTGTTGTTAAAGGACCAGGAGTATGGGGAAGAAAAAATACTGCCTATCAAACTTCTAAAAATGGATCAAGGCATTGGCAGTTTTTAGGCAGATGTTTTTCTACCATAATAAAATTAACAAAAATTTATTTTAAGTTCATTTGTAGGATAATTTATTACTCATATGCCAAGCCTGTGTATAAATAACTTTTTAAACCTAAGTGATCTTATAGTCTCATAATGTGCAGGTGTGTAGTTCACCTCACTCACTTTATCCATGCAGTCTTCATTGTCAGATATTTGTATGCATTTCAGTTACAAACTCAAATGGGATGCACTAAAAGGCTCAGAGACTCTGAGGAACTCCTGAAATACCATAATTTGAAAAAAGTATCTATCTGAAAGTTACAATGAATGGAAACATCTAGAAGTATTTTAATGAGCTAATACCAGTGTGTGGTGCTACACACATTCACACATTGCTTATCGATGAGGATACAATGAGGATATGAGGACACGTTCTGAGAAATGTGTTGTTAGGCATTTCATCACTGCGTGAATATCAAAGAGTACACTTATGCAGACCTAGATGGTGTAGCCTACTACACACCTAGGCTATGTGGTGTAGCCTATTGCTCCTAGGCCACAAACCTGTATAGCATGTGGCTCTGCTGAAAAACTAGAGGTATTTATAACACAATTATAGTATTTATGTATACAAATACATATAAACATAGGAAAAACACAGTATTCCATTATTGGGTGTAGTGGTGCATGCCTCTAGTCCCAACTACTCGGGAGGCTGAGGCAGGAGGATCACTTGAGCCCAGGACTTTGGGACTGCAGTGAACTGTGATCCCCTCTGCTGCCCTCCAGCCTGGGTGACAGGGCAAGACCCTATCTCATAAATAAATAAATAATAAGAAGAAGAGTTAAAAAAAAAAACAGTTTTAGGAGTTTTATAGACTCTACCCACTCACCCAGATTAACCCCAGGTCTGGATAAGTAAATGATAACTGTTAGCTAGGCACTTTATGTTCTACAACTCAAATGAGTTAGTTAACTCCTGTGAGCCTCTGCTCATTCATGTACCCAGTAGATCTCAGAGCTGTATTCTTTCTTCATATGTATGTTAGGAGATAAAATGAAAGTTTTCATGGAAACACTTGGAAATTAAGGTGCTATAGAACATATTTTTTCCTATTTATAATAAAATAGGAAAAAAATACATTCTTTGATTAATTTGAAATTTTGTCTGAAGTAGATGTTACCCCTACTTGGTTTTAGGAATAATCTTCTCCTCCTCCTACTACTACTTCTCCTCCTCCTCCTCCTTCTCCTTCTTTCTTCTTCTTACTTCTTTCTTCTTCTTCGTTTTTTTTTTTTTTTTTTTTTTCTTTTTCTTTTTTGAGACAGTGTCTCACTCTGTCACCTAGGCTGGAGTACACTGCCGCGAACTTGGTTCACTGCAAGCTCTACCTCAGGTTCAAGCAGTTCTCTCGACTCAGCTTCCTGAGTAGCTGGGGTTACAGGCACATGCCACCATGCCCAGCTAATTTTTGTATTTTTAGTAGAGATGGGGTTTCACCATGTTGGCCAGGCTGGTCTCAAACTCCCAACCTCAGATGATCCACCTGCTTTAGCAGTCCTAAGTGCTGGGATTACAGGCATGAGCCACCACGCCTAGCCAAAATCTTTTTATTATACACAGATTATTTCATAGATACGTATTCTATTCTAACAAGATTTGAGTGTGTGTGTATAAATAAGTGATAGCACTAGATTTTAAGTGCTTTGGTTTGCTATATTAGTCGTTATACCTTAAATTGTTGAAGCATATCTTAAGAGTATAGATTAGGACTCTTGAATGGAAAATATTTAGGGGAACTATCTCGTATTTTGCATGAATGAATGTTTGTGGTTGCTATGTCGGTGATGAAATGTACAATTAAAGATAATTGGATGGTTTTTAGGAGAACTCTCAAAAGCAGTTTGTTAAACAGTGGTAATCTTGTTAAATCCCATTAAGATAAATCCAAAACATCAACATGAGTATTAAACTACAGATGGTGCATGTTGGGGTATTTGTGGACACTACAGAATAGGAAAAGGAGAAAGAAGGTCTCTGTAACTTCTTAGTAGATTTTGTGGTTTGTTGGTTTTTAACTTGACTGAAAGCACTGTTATTTGGGAAATGCCTAGATTTTAGAGACAAATGAACAGAGATTTTAGCAATGTAATTTCAGTATTGACATGAACTATGACAAGAATATTGAGCTGATGTGTTTCTTAAGAATTTTTGACATTTTAAATTTTTGTAAATTTAGGTTCTTATTTCTAGTGCTAACTAAACTATAGTAGTTAAACTTCCCAGGATCTTTGTTTCCATTTGTAGCATGCAAGTGTTATATTCTAACTGAAGGTCATTGAGGGCATTTTTTTTAACTTCCACAATGTGGTTGGTTCTGACTTGATTTTTCAATAGCACATTAATGAGCTGACTCCATGTTGGTGTTTTATAACTCTGTGTGTGTGTGTGTGTATGTGTGTGTGTGTGTGTGTTTAGCAAAATGTTGTTTATTTGAAACCCATAGGTGAAAGAAAGTTTTAAAATATTAATATCCTCGCTATTTTAGGATGCACATTCACAAGGTGAGGTGGTATCATGCTTGGAGAAAGGCCTGGTGAAAGAAGCAGAAGAAAGAGAACCCAAGATTCAAGTTTCTGAACTCTGCAAGAAAGCCATTCTCCGGGTGGCTGAGCTGTCCTCAGATGACTTTCATTTAGACCGGCATTTATATTTTGCTTGCCGAGATGATCGGGAGCGTTTTTGTGAAAACGTGAGTCAGCTCAGAAACTGTTCTGTTCTTCCTTTTATTTTCACACAGAGATAATTTTGTTTTAATTAATTTAATTGTACTGTTTTTTGAGAGTCTGAGTCTCACTATGTTACCCAGGCCGATCTTGAACTTCCAGCCTCAAGCAATTCTCCCACCTCAGCCTCCCCAGTTTTTGAGACAGGATCTTGCTGTGTTACCCATGCTGGAGTGCAGTGGTGTGATCATGTCTCACTGCAGCCTCCAACTCCTGGGTTCAAGTGATTCTTCTGCCTCACCCTTCCAAGTAAACTTTTCGTAAGCGGAGGTTGCTATGTTGCCCAGACTGGTCTTGAACCCTTGGCCCAAGATGATCCTTCTACCTCTGTCTCTGAAAGTGCTAGGATTATAGACACGAGCCACTGCAACTAGTCATAAAATATTTTTTAATGCTCTAATATAAAATAAGCCATCAAGAAACCTCACATGTAGAAAAGCTACAGAAATGAAGGATGAACTTGGTCCCGGTATAGCAGAAAGTGGTAACTGGGTATTCAACCTTGATAATTGGACATTTAGTTAAGAGTTGGCTTCTGATGATCTCCACATAGTATTTTTTTCTGCTTTATCTCACTCAATTTCAGTTCTTGGAAATCTGTTTTATCTATAGGAATTTTATTTGACCCATGATCCTATTCACATCTATTCAGTGGCTAAAACTTTTACACACATTTATATGTTTTTGGCTAAGGTGAAGAAAACAGCAGGTGGCTAATTTTTAAAACCAAATCTTTGATTACCACCTCCTGACCCTATAGAACAGCTTTCTAACACTTTAAATAGAATGGTCTCTCCATCCTTACAACAAAGGACTGAAAGTAACTTGTGTATACTTCCACTCTGCCTGCTAGTTGGAATTAACAGCTTTAACCATCAGAGTCACTGATGTAAGAGTTTTATTAACTCTAGCACACGCCTCTAAGAAACAAGACTCAGAGGCTGGGCACAGTGGCTCCCACCACTTTGGGAGGCTGAGGCGGGCAGGTCACTTGAGGTCAGGATTTCGAGACCAGCCTGGCTAACATGGTGAAACCCCGTCTCTACTAAAAATACAAAAATTAGCTGGGTATGGTGGTGGGGCCTGTAATCTCAGCTACTCAGGAGGCTGAGACAGGAGAATTACTTGAACCTGCGAGGTAGAGGTTGCACTGAGCTAAGATCGTGCCACTGTACTCTAGCCTGGGCAACAGAGCAAAGCTGTCTCAAAAAAAAAGAAGACTCAGGCCGGGTGCGGTGGCTCAAGCCTGTAATCCCAGCACTTTGGGAGGCCGAGGCGGGTGGATCACAAGGTCAAGAGATCAAGACCATCCTGGTCAACATGGTGAAACCCCGTCTCTACTAAAAATACAAAAAAATTAGCTGGGTGTGGTGGCGCGCGCCTGTAATCCCAGCTACTCGGGAGGCTGAGGCAGGAGAATTGCCTGAACCCGGGAGGCGGGGGTAGCGGTGAGCCGAGATTGTGCCATTGCACTCCAGCCTGGGTAACAAGAGCGAAACTCCATCTCAAATAAAAAAGAAGACTCAGACTCAGACTCTGACACTTCTCTTGGTTCCCTAATTAACAAAATATATTAGAACAAATGACAAGTGCCAGATATCATGGGAATATTTTTTTCATCTCTACTGCAGTCACTGTTTTTGTTTAAAGCCTAGTAAATTTTAAAATTTTATAAATGTTGATCTAAAGGTGCTTACCATTGTAATCATTTAATAGAAAGTTCTGTATGAGATTGTGGATAATGTTCATCATAACTACTTAGCTAAAGTAGTGTATGTTCCATCTTACAGACACAGGCTGGTGAGGGCAGAGTGTACAAGTGCCTCTTTAATCATAAATTTGAAGAATCCATGAGTGAAAAGGTAAGTATTACTGTGAAACTAATGAATATTTTGATTTTTTAAAAGCTTTCTCAAATTCTCTCAAACAATACTTATAATCTTATATACAAATGTAAATGACTGATAGACCTCACTCCTTTCAAAGGTGAGGTACTTGGGTTTAAGCTGAAAGCAAGCTTAAACCCAAGCTTGGTTGAAACCAAGAAAATGAAGCCCTGATTATGATATAGGTAGTGATAAGCCAAGTGAGGTTCTCACTGTGGTTGTTTCTTCAGTTCTTTTTTTTTTTTTTCCTGATATGGAGTCTTGCTCTGTCACCAAGGCTGGAGTGCAGTTGCATGATCTCGGCTCACTATAGCCTCGGCCTCCCAGGTTCAAGCGATTCTCCTGCCTCAGCCTCCCTAGTAGCTAGGACTACAGGTGTCTGCCAGCACACTTGGCTAATTTTTGTATTTTTGGTAGAGACAGGGTTTCACTATGTTGGCCAGGCTGGTCTCGAACTTACAACTTCAGGTGATCGGCCTGCCTCTCACTGGTTTTATGTACAGTGCTCAGTGTGATTTTATATAAAACCACACTGAGGCCAGCCCTGCCTATTCAAGAAGTTTAGGTTAGCCAAATCATTGTGCTTTGTAGGTAATTAGTTATTTAATTTTTCAGCAGCTATATCATTAAGCATCCTCTTTTAGTTCTCTGTCCCTGGATAAATGCAGGAATCATTGATGACTTTTGAAACAATTAAATTTGCTATCTTGTCATTTACTTTCCAGTGTAGCTGAAGAAATGTTTCTCATTTCTGTTTTCTAATGTCATTTGAATAATCTTATTCAAATCTTATATCATTATTCACATGATATAGAAAAGTTGAATAATTATAATTTAAAGTATAGACTAGAATACCCCAAGTGTTAATGTTAGTTGCCAGTTTGATGCTGGTGAAATTTATGTTAGGAGTATTGTTAAAGTGGAAAAGAATGCTGTATGTGAAGTTAATGTACTGGGATCTGTTCTGGACACTGCCATTGCTGCAACACTTCGCAAGTGACTACAGAATTTCTAGGTTCCCCCCCCCCCTTACCCCTGTCTCACGCCGTACTAGTTTAGCTCAGTTGTGCAGCTTTTAACCAAACTTAAAGATAGATATGTTGGTAATAACTGCAGTTATTGACATGTACTTGACTGAGTCGACATGCTCATCTTAGAGGTACACATCAACAGCAAAACCACAGGAGTGGTCTCACGGCTCTTGCTGTACTCTTTCCTCAGTGTCGAGAAGCACTCACAACCCGCCAAAAGCTGATTGCCCAGGATTATAAAGTCAGTTATTCATTGGCCAAATCCTGTAAAAGTGACTTGAAGAAATACCGGTGCAATGTGGAAAATCTTCCGCGATCCCGCGAAGCCAGGCTGTCCTACCTGCTCATGTGCCTGGAGTCAGCTGTACACAGAGGTAGTGTTCATTTCTTTTTATCATATCTGTTCCTTTTGGAATTCATACTCTGAAGTTTTTCATATGTAAATGTTAGTTTCCTTCCATATTTGCTTTTTTTTCCCCCACGTTTTTAAATTAATTATTACTATTTTTTTTTAATAGAGATGGAGTTTCACCGTGTTGGCCAGCCTGGTCTCGAACTCCTGGCCTCAAGCTATCCTCCCACCTTGGCGTCCCTGAGTGCCGGGATTACAGGCGTGAGCCACCATGCCCAGCTGAATATTTTTCATTTTTGAAAATTGTGCGGCATTTTGGGGAGACTCAGGGTAGAACATTGTGCAACATTTTGGGGAGACTCAGGGTAGCATGGTTTAGCACATGGGGCAGACTTGGCTTCAACTTTTGACTCTTATCACTAAACCAACTGTCTGGGTGACCATTTTTTGTTTTGTTTCGTTTTAATCTTTTTATTTTAAGTTTTCCCCATTGGCATTTACAGATGAAATTAGTTGGGGGAGCCTGTAGTGAATATCTGAAGTGTAGTCTTTTCCAAAAGTTTTAAATGTGTAGGCCAGTGGAGATTGTTCTTTCGCTTTCATTTTTTTTTTTGAGACAGAGTTTTTGCTTTTGTTACCCAGGCTGGAGTGCAATGGTGCGATCTTGGCTCACTGCAACCTCCGCCTCCTGGGTTCAGGCAATTCTCCTGCCTCAGCCTCCCGAGTGGCTGGGATTACAGGCACACGCCACTATGCCCAGCTAATTTTTTGTATTTTTAGTAGAGACGGGGTTTCACCATGTTGACCTGGATGGTCTCGATCTCTTGACCTCGTGATCCACCCGCCTCGGCCTCCCAAAGTGCTGGGATTACAGGGATGAGCCACCACACCCGGGCCTTTGGCTTTCATTTTTACCCCATTTGTTATTGATAAGAATTTCACGGGCAAAGTATTTGCGTTATTAGTGCAGTAGTCTAACACCTGCTTCATGCAGAACACTGACAGGAGAAGCCTGAATATCTGGAGTCTAAGCCTATGTTATGCTACTAAACCTTTTGCTAATTCTTTAGTATGACTGGTAGTTATATTGTATTACAGAGAGAAATCTGTACTTTTAATAGGTGGTGATTTGTGATGCTAATGTATACCATTACCCTCCGTAATGTTATGACTTACATCCTAACTTAGGGCGACAAGTGAGCAGTGAGTGCCAGGGGGAGATGTTGGATTACCGACGCATGTTGATGGAAGACTTTTCTCTGAGCCCTGAGATCATCCTAAGCTGTCGGGGGGAGATTGAACACCATTGTTCCGGATTACATCGAAAAGGACGGACCCTACACTGTCTGATGAAAGTAGTTCGGGGGGAGAAGGGGAACCTTGGAATGAACTGCCAGCAGGCGGTAAGGAGACTTTTGCTATTGCCATTTTGAATGTCACATTTATCAGCTGAGGAGCCTCTTCCTGATGCTGTCCCACTTGCTTTATCTGGATCATTTGTGATATCACATTGAATATTAGGTACTAAGTACCAGAGACAGAAGGTTGTTTCTTCAGGCATATCTTAGTAAGAATGTGGCATTTGCTACAGTGCAAAAGTTTGAGCTCATAATCAATAAAAAGAACTATCTTCTAAGATAGAGAGCATTATTTGCCAAGAGTTTCTAGTGAAAGGGCAGCTTGCTAGACTGGATTTCCTAAACTCAGAATCAAGGCAAACCAGATTCTGATCCATAAGGACAGGCCCTCTACCAAGAGAGAATTTGCCTTTCTAAATAGGCTTGATTGAGTTGAGGCTGAAAGAGAAAGTTGATATAAATTGAAATTTTTTCTAAGAGTTTATTTTTGTTACTGATTTGCAGCATGGCCTGAAGGATCAAGAGAGCATGTCGTTTTTGAAATCACACTGTCTTTTCCTCATACACTAGGACACTTATGCATGGAAGAGTCATTTTCTTTTTAATTTAATTTAGGTTCTAGGATACATGTGCAGGATGTACAGGTTTGTTACATAGGTAAACATGTGCCCTGGTGGGGGTCTTTCTTTTTCTAGCCCTAAACCTCACAGTTAGCATACTTTGCTGGGGAAGATAAAGTTCTTCTCGATCTAGCATCTTATGAACAGTTGAATAACTACAGGTCAGGTAAGAAACGCAAAGTTAAAATGTTGGAGATTTAGTGCATCTGTTTCATTACTGTCGTCCATGTTGATTGCTCTTTACTGGACATGAGTCTTAGAGCAACTTAACATACCATGTGCACCAGTGTGCCCTGGGCAGTGAACTTTCCTTTAGGGAGCACAAGAGTTAGTTTCACTTTATATCCTAGAATAGAAACTTGAGACTCTCTTGTTAGTTAAACTTTAGAAAACCACAGTCAGTCTTACTATTTTATAGTTGGCGTTTTATTAAAAACTGTATATCAGCCTGAATTTTATATTCTTGATAATCATGTAAAATCAGAATTTTACGGTCTGAAACAAAACTTTGAAGACTGAAACCCGACAGTTTTATACAATTTGGATATGGAGTAAAATTCCATATTAACCTTTGTTGCTCATCTTGACCCGAAGTAGACACCAGTGTGTGTATGCATGTGTGTGCATGCATATGTGTGTGCACATGCGTGCCTATGCTTCCCATGGTGGGAAAATAGGCAAATGTAGCTTCTTCTCTAAAATACCAAGCTGGTGCAGGAGGGAAGGCTTCTGTGGTATCCAGGTGGCCTGGGCTACTGACCAGAGCCCAATACCCTCACCAATGCCTGTTCTTAAATCAGAGCAGCTAGTGTGTTGACGTGGGCGTCAGAAGGGAAGGAATCTGCTGTTTCAGTTTGCCACAGTGTTGTTCCTAAGGTGCAGTTCTTGCTGGCGACTGTCCTGGGAAACCTGTTTGCCTGTGTAGGTCCTGGGACCCAGACCAAAAATCAGTCAGGAGACAGCCTGTATTTGCATTTCATCCTTAAAGCAACATGGCAAGGTTGTTGGAGGAGGGTCAGGATGAACTTAACCTTTTTTTTTTTTTTGAGACAGAGTTTCACTCTTGTTGCCCAGGCTGGAGTACAATGGCACATTCTTGGCTTACTGCAACCTCCGCCTCCCAGCTTCAAATGATTTTCCTGCCTCAGCCTCCCGAGTAGCTGGGATTACAGACGTGCACCACCATGCCTGGCTAATTTTGTATTTTTAGTAGAGATTGAGTTTCACCTTGTTGGTCAGGCTCGTCTCGAACTCCCAACCTCAGGTGATCCGCCTGCCTCAGCCTCCCAGAGTGCTGGGATTACAGGTATGAGCACCATGCCTGGCCTAAACCTTTTTATTGAGGCTATGCTTATAGTAAAGGATGCAGAAAAAAGAAAATAGACTGGTTTGACTTTATTTTGAGGCATCTAATTCACACCCAAGGCTTTTTAAAATCTAGCTGGTTGAAAGAATCAGTGATTCAGCTTGAAAGATGTAAGTACTGCCCACATCACCTTTTGTGCCCAGAAGAAGGGTACTTTCCAAATCTAGAGAGGGTGGCTTCAAGTAGTGAAACATATGATTTTGCCCATATTAAATTTAGCCAAGTGGGGCCAGGTGCAGTGGCTCACCCCTATAATCCCAGCATTTGGGGAGGCCAAGGTGGGCAGATCTTGTGAGGTCAGGAGTTCATGACCAGCCCGACCACCATGGGGGAACCCCATCTCTACAAGAAATACAAAATTAGCCTGTGGTGGTATGTACTTAGAGTCCAGCTACTCGGGAAGCTGACGCAGGAGAATCGCTTGAACCTGGGAGGCATAGGTTGCAGTGAGTTGAGATCGCACCACTGCTCTCCAGCCTAGGCCACACAGAATGAGACTCCATCTCAAAAAGTAAAAAATTTTTAAATTAAAATAAAATAAAAATAAATTTAGTCAACTGGGAAAGAAGCGTTTTATTTGATTTATACGGACCCAGGGTTTTTAGCTTTTGCCCACAAAAACTGAAGGCCTAAATGATCCAAAGGTAGAAAAATGTCCTTAGTCTTCTCCAGTATCCATCCCCAGTCAAATTGATGAATGTTTTAAAATAATTCATTTTGGGGGAGTTTCTTTTTATTTCTTTTTTGTTGTTGTTGTTTCGTTTCTTAAGTGATGGGGTCTTGCCATGATCACCAGGTTGGTCTCAAACTACTGGGCTCAAGCAGTCCGCCTGCTTTGGGCTCCCAAACTACTGGGATTATAGGCATGAGCCACTATGCCTGGCCTTTTCTTTTTTTTTTTCTTTTTCAACGTTTTCTTTCTAATATAGCAGACTTCAATACCTGTTCTGTGGTTGACCATTTAGTTTTCCCTGTTGTCTACTTGGTGATTGATTTAGTGATTTCTCAACAGGTAGTAAGCGGTAGAGCATAAGAGTAATTATCATCTTGTTGAGTACATACTCTCCCAAATGCACCATAATTGTGAGCTGTGAAATTCTCTTCATTCATGGCTCAATAAGTCTGGGCCTAGGCCCTCCTAAACCAAAGATAACTGCCAGTCTATTCTCAAGTCATCTCTCTGAAGCATTTTCCCAGATTTTCCTAAGCATGCCAGGGGCTAGAATAGGTGTATAATCATGTAGCAATTCACATTTTCAGTGTTTATTTCACACGCTACTGTTACTAAATTCCAGAGTGGCAATGATCCCTGGAGCTGTTAGCCCATTAGGCTCTAGAGGGCATTCATTTTCGCCTGTAAATAACTTCAGTCCAGTGCATTTATTATTTCTTAAAGTTTGCCTGTCAGTCATGGACATTTAACTGATACAGTTCTTGCAAAGACTTGCAGACTCCCATGTTACTCTTCCAACTTTTTTCATAAAAAGATGTATATACTTTGATTTTTGTCAACAAATGTTATAAGTAACATTGGTAATCATTCAATAGTGATTTTCCTACCAGCTAACCCCAGCATTTTGTAGCTTTTCTAAGCTGCCACCAAGAATTTTTGGTGTAAATAACTTCTATCCTAGAATATTGGAAATCTTTCATGTTTCTCTCTTCTAGATTACCAGCTTTTTTTTTTAGGATAATAGAAGTTTGTGGATTTTTCCTTTATTTCCTTTTGATTATGGCCCTCTGATAAATTTGTGATGAGGTCATACATCTAACCTATGATCCCACAGGTGTTCCAGTGAAGACCCTATGGAATCATAGGTTAGCTATGTAAGGATCAGAGGACAAATCAGTGACACAAAATGATTCCAGTTCTGTAACTTGGCAAAAGGGAACCCAAACCAGTAAGGATTATAGTTTTCAAATGTGCTTTCTGTTTACTAAAGATTTCTACCCCAAGACCGGGTCTGGTGGCTCACACCTATAATCCTAGCACTTTGGGATGTCGAGGTGGGTAGACCGCTTGAGTTCAAGACCAGCCTGGCCAACATGGCAAAACCTTGTCTCTACTAAAAATATAAAAATTCAGCTGGGTACCATGACTCATGCCTGTAATCCCAGTACTTTGGGAGGCTAAGGCGTGTGAATCATGAGGTCAGGAGTTCAAGACCAGCCTGACCAACATAGCGAAACCCTGTCTCTACTAACAATACAAAAAATTAGCTGGGTGTGGTGGCGGGCACCTGTAATCCTCCCTACTCTGGAGTCTGATGCAGGAGAATGGCTTGAACCCAGAAGGTTTCAAGGTTACAGTGAGCCAAGATTGTACCATTGCACTCCAGCCTGGGTGACAGAGCAAGACTCGGTCTCAAAAACAGACACACACACACACACACACACACACACACACACACACACACACACACAATTAGCCAGGAGGCCGGGTGCAGTAGCTAATACCTGTAATCCCAGCACTTTGGGAGGCCAAGGCTGGCGGATCACAAGGTCAAGAGATTGAGATCATCCTGTCCAACATGGTGAAAACCCATCTCTACTAAAAATACAAAAAAATTTATCCAGGCATCATGGCAGGTGCCTGTAATCCCAGCTACCTGGGAGGCTGAGGCAAGAAGAATTTCTTGAACCTGAGAGGTGGAGGTTGCAGTGAGGCAAGATCGCACCACTGCACTGCAGCCTGTCAACAGAGCAAGACTCCGTCTCAAAAAAAAATTAGGGAGTGCTGGCACATGCCTTTAGTCCCAGCTACTCAGGAGGCTGAGGCAGAAGAATCACTTGAACCTGGGAAGTGGAGGTTGTATTGAGTGGAGATCATGCCACTGCACTCCAGCCTGGGTGACCTCTGTCTCAGGAAAAAAAAAAAGATTTCTACTCCAAAATACCATCTGCTACTGTCTGTAGTAATAATGATCTTTCACATCTGTAAAATGCTTTGCAATTTACCCAATGTTCTCCCGTATATTATTTCTTTTTCTTTTCTATACCACCTCAGAACATGCCCATTGATATTATTATTTCTTACAATTTTTTGCAGTTAGAGAAACCAAAACGTAAAGGTAATCAGTATGTCCATGTTCTCAAAGCTAATCTGTCAGAGCCAGAACTATTAATAGAACTTATTTCTTTTGATTTTGATTTAGAGCCTTTTCATCTACTCCCCTCCTCAAAGGCAGGGGAAAAAAATACATGAAACACCTATTCTCAAGTCGTTCCTTTATTCCATGGCAAGACAGTAAAGTAAATGATAAAGAATATAGTCTTTATCATTTATCATATAGAAATGACAAGTATTTTTCTATATACTTACAATGTGCAAGATCAAGTTTGTTTACCTCTTGGTTGTAGAAAAATAGTTGAGGAAAATGGGAAATTATTAGTACTGTAATCTTGTTTTTTTGCGACTGATATTTCTTCAGGTTAAATGAAATTGCACATGTGCTTTTAATAAAGCACAACACATTTGACTTAATACCATTGTCTTTGCAGGAAAATTCAAATTCTAGATTCTTATGACCAAATTAGGTCTCTCGTTGAAAATGTTCTTTATTTACTCTTTTCCACTCAATTCTGACTTTGCTATGAGCACCACGTTTAGTAATCTGATTAACATGTAGGCAGATAAAAGCAAAGATGCAGGCTTCACATTCATGTTGTAAAGACCTCCAAGGATTAAGTCAGGTGTGGTGGCTTAAGCCTATAATCCCAGCACTCTGGGAGGCCAAGGCAGGTGGATCATGAGGTCAAGAGATGGAGACCATCCTGGCCAACATGGTAAAAACCCCTCTCTACTAAAAATACAAAAACTAGCCGGTGTGGTGGCGAATGCCTGTAGTCCCAGCTACTCGGGAGGCTGAGGCAGGAGAATCACTTGAACCCAGTAGGCAGAGGTTGCAGTGAGTTGAGATCAAGCCACTACACTCCAGCCTGGTGACAGAGCGAGACTGTCTTAAAAAAAAAAAAAAAAGACCTCCAAGGATTAGTAAGAACGTAGATAAGCAGTCCCCACAGTAACTCAAATAGAAAAATCTGCAATCAAGGTGGAGAAACCAGTTGGAAAAGTATTTGCCAAGAGCTCTTGAGTTTGGCTAGTGACAACTGTAGACAACTTTTTTGGAGTACATTGTGGTAAATAAGACTGAGGAACTGATTGTATGAAGAAGACACTACTCTTCCCTAGCACCTAAGTGACTTACTTTCTTCCCTCTTAATTTGTTTTAATCCAGCTTCAAACACTGATTCAGGAGACTGACCCTGGTGCAGATTATCGCATTGATCGAGCTTTGAATGAAGCTTGTGAATCTGTAATCCAGACAGCCTGCAAACACATAAGATCCGGAGACCCAATGTAGGTTATCTTATCCATGGTATTTATCCATATTGTATTTTACTTGGCAGCACAAGGAACATTCCTCCAAATGACTTTTGGGTGGTTTGAGATCTTCACTGAAATTTTGTTGAACAGGTTGAACATATACCAACTTTTAGTAAAACTACTATTGGAATTGAAACCTAGGATCTGCCTCATCCATGATATAAAGACCCTAGACCTAGTATTGTGATGGTGTTTATTGACAGTGACTGAGCATATATGGACTTGCATATTAGGTTATTGAATAATTTTATATAATGATCAGATAAAAATGAGAGAGAGAAACACTCAGATATGTGACACATACTTTGGCACGCTGTAGTTTTCCGCCTAGTTGTATACTGACTCATTGTATACATTGGCTACTGTAATCATCAGAAAATACTTGAGGTCGGACACGGTGGCTCCTGCCTGTTATCCCAGCACTTTGAGAGACCGAGGCAGGTGGATCATGAGGTCAAGAGATCAAGACCATCCTTACCAATATGGTGACACTCCATCTCTGCTAAAAATACAAAAATTAGCTGGGTGGGGTGGCCTGCACCTGTAGTCCCAGCTACTTGGGAGTCTGAGGCAGGAGAATCACTTGAACCTGGGAGGTAGAAGTTGCAGTGAGCTGAGATCACGCCATTGCACTCCAGAAAACAATATGTGGTAATGGACAAAATGAATACTAGAGTTGCATCCAAGATCTAGAAAAGCTGAATAAATGCTATATTAAAGTATTAATTCTTATACTTTAGTTTTATTTTTTATTATGTAAAAACAGCTCTTAAACCATGGCTGGGTGCAGTAACTCATGCCTGTATAATTCCAGTGTTTTGGGAGGCCGAGGTGAGAGGATCACTTGAAGGCATGAGTTTGAAACCAGCCTGGGCATTAATAGCTAGGCAACATAAAAGTTTTTAAAATTAGCTGGCATGGAGGCATATGCCTGCAGTCCCCTCTACTTAAGAGGTTGAGGTGGGAGGATTTGCTTGAGCCCAGGAGTTCAAGGTCACAGTGAGCTGTGATCTACCACTGCACTCCAGCCCAGATGACAGAGTAAAACCCTGTCTCAAAAAAACCAAACCAAAACAAAACCAGCTGCAAAATAAGAACAGCTTCCGGCGGGTGGAGGGGGGTGGAAAAAAAAAGAACAGCTTCCTTATTCTGCAAAAATTTTTGTAGCCAGCAGTTGGCCATACCCAATAAAGAAGTGAATATAGTCCACGTTTATCTCATTCTGCTGTGCAAGAACTCCTGTTGTTCGTGCTGTGGTAGAGAATTATAAAATTAGATTCTTCTTTTAAAGCTTTCTATGTGGTTAAACACACTTAAAACTAATTAAGAATATTTACTGGCTGGGCACAGTGGCTCACACCTATAATCCTAGCACTTTGGGAGGCCGAGGCAGGCACATCACCTGAGGTTGGGAGTTTGAGACCAGCCTGACCAACATGAAGAAACCCCATCTCTACTTTAAAAATGCAAAATTAGCCTGGCGTAGTGGCACATGGCTGTAATCTCAGCCACTTAGGTGGCTGAGGCAGGAGAATCGCTTGAACCTGGGAAGCGGAGGTTGCGATTAGCTGAGATCGCACCATTGCACTCCAGCTTGGAGAACAAGAGCGAAACTCCATCTTAAAAAAAAAAAAAAAGAAGGAATTTTTACCGCTGTAAAAATAACCACATCAACCAAAAAGGGGTTTGGGGACAGGGAAGAAGGAAGAACTGCTGCAGTTGAAAGTAAATTAAGATACTTACCAGTTAAGCTTTTCTGGGTCCTGATTTGAACAAACTTGTAAAAATAATAATAATAATTGAAATAATTTGAAAACTAACAGGATGTTACATGATAGCAAAGTTTTTAAAATAGTTTCTTGGTGGTGTGTTAATGGTGTTAAGTTCTTATATTTTAAAGAAACATGCTGAAATATTTACAAATGAAATGGTAAGAGTATCTGGGATTTTGCTAGAAAATATCGGCAAAGGGGCCTAGAGTTGAAACAGACCTGGCTGTAGATTGATAAAGTAATGGGGAGGGAATGTGGCTGTTACATGATTCTCTACTTCTGTGTGTACTGGAAAGTTTTCATTACCAGTTAAAAATACAGCAGCTGCACACTGCCCCTGTGCATGCAGAGTCTTTTTTATTTTTTATTTTATATATATATATATATATATATATATATATATATATATATATTTTTTTTTTTTTTTTTTTTTAAGATGGGGTTTCACCCTGATGGCCAGGCTGGTCTTGAACTCCTGACTTCAGGTGATCCACCCACCTCGGCCTCCCAAAGTGCTAGGATTACAGGCATGAGCCACCGCACCCGTCCGGATGCAGAGTCTTAAGTGCTGAGTGGCTCTGAAGTTGATAGAAGACATAATCACTGTCAGGTTCAGTTAATTTGAGTGATTCTCAGAAAAATAAATCCGATTTGCCCTAAGAAAATAGCTAAAAGGCTTTTTCTACAGACCAGGGAAATATTATGTAGACATCGAGTTCTGGAAACTTCTGTTACAATTTTACTCATTTTATGGCTAGGATTTTGTCATGCTTGATGGAACATTTATACACAGAGAAGATGGTGGAAGATTGTGAACACCGTCTCTTAGAGCTGCAGTATTTCATCTCCCGGGATTGGAAGTGAGTATTTTGAAGCCAGAGTAAATGTATTGCCTCAGCCTGTTCTCCTGTGTAGTCATAATTACCTGTATTTATTAAAATAATCAGTAGGAAACTCTTTTTGTTCAGTTTTGGGACAGCTAACACACTCCAGTCTCCTGAAAAAGACTATGCTTTATCACTTTCAGAACATAATCTAAAAGCAGAGTGAGCCTGCTCCCAGTCTGTACCACACATCCTTGTTTACCACTACGTTGCAAGTCAGGGTCAAAATGTTTCTGATACCACAAAGATCTGTCTGGAAAGAATGATGGCACCTGTGGGGGTGGCAGAAGCACCTTCAGATACGTCTCTAAGAAGATAATAATGCACTTGTATTTTTATTGATTTGCAATGGATATGGGAATTTGTTTTTATTTCTTTATTCAAAGTTATTAAGTCTATCTTAAGAGGTTTTTGTCAATAAGTGACAACTTGATTCTCCAATTTCTTTCTCATTCTGTTAACACAAAGTGATGGGAATGGGAGGACAAAATAGAAGGATCTGTATTACAACCAGAATCACTGAGTTGTTCATTGGCTGTCATTCCACCCCCTTTCCTTGTCTTACTTTCTCACCCCACCTCCAAAGCAGCCAGTACTGGATCCGACTGCTTCTCTAGCTTTTCATGTTCAGTGGCTTCTCCATTCGGTTGTTAAGCCACCATGGTATGGTAGTTAACTTTTTTTTGTGATTAATATATATTTTGGCCAGGCACAGTGATTCATACCTATAATCCCAGCACTTTGAGAGACCTAGGCAGGAGGAAAGCTTGAAGTCAGAAGTTTAAGGCCAGCCTGGTCAACATAGCTAGACCTTGTCTCTACAAAAACTGACAATAATTAGCCAGGTATGGCAGTGTGCGCATATAGTCCTGGCTACTCAGGAGGCTAAAGCAGGAGGATCACATGAGCCCAGGAGCTCTAGGTTACAGTGAGCTGTGGTTATGCCACTGCATGCCGACAGTGAGACCCTATCTCAAAAAATGTGTGTGTGTGTGTGTGTGTGTGCGTGTGTGTGTGTGTGTGTGTGTGTGTTTTGCCCTCACACTTTACTAGAAAGAGATTACCTGAAGATTCAATGTATTCTCATTTCTGTTTCTTCAAATTAGCTCTGGAAAGGACCACAGAAAGCTGGGCTGTAATTTCCCTTTGCTTACCCAGGCCATCTAAACCTAAATAGTCTACTGAGTGTATTGCCTTAATCAAAATCGCATTTTCTCGTTCTTCCTTAATTCCTTCCCCCCAATAAAAAAGTGCTTCGTAGTTACTTATTAAATATTAGCTCTTCATGGTTACTCATTAAATATTAGCTTTTTTCTCCCATTAAATAGCCCTCTACCAAAGTTAACAATATAATATGGACAGAATTAAGCATGCCCTGGTCTGATTTGGAGAAGCAGCAGGCTCATTGTCTAATCCACTGTGTCCAGATTCAGAGTTAAATGTCAAGGCTTATACATTGATAAGCACCCTCAAGTAAACCAAAAAGATAACCACCTTACCTTACACAGGAAGAAGAGAGAAAATTGAATAGGAGACTATCTTGCCATTTCCTGATCATACTGAGTCTAATATATTCCATAGGATTGAATTTCATTCATACTTAGAAAAAGGCATTTAGTAAAAAGTATTAAGTAAGAAGTTGTGAATTGCCTGGTGTTTGGCTACAACCCTAGTTTTCTGTTTTCAACCAGGGCATGTGAGTGCTAAGTCTGTTCTTAAAATGTTAGGTATCTAATACAGCCAAGATAACATCTTTGAAGGAGAATTTAAATCTTCTGTAGAAGTTTAACAGACCTGTAGAAGTTTATCCTCCTCCCCAGGTCTCCCACAGTGCTAACTAGTTTGTGTTCATTAAGAACAGAATTCGGCCAGGCGCAGTGGCTCAAGCCGTAATCCCAGCACTTTGGGAGGCCAAGGCGGGTGGATCACGAGGTCAAGAGATTGAGACCATCCTGGTCAACTTGGTGAAACCCCATCTCTACTAAAAATACAAAAAATTAGCTGGGCATGGTGGCACGTGCCTGTAATCCCAGTTACTCAGGAGGCTGAGGCAGGAGAATTGCCTGAACCCAGGAGGCGGAGGTTGCGGTGAGCCGAGATTGCGCCATTGCACTCCAGCCTGGGTAACAAGAGCGAAACTCCGTCTCAAAAAAAAAAAAAAAAAAAAAAAAAAAAGAACAGAATTCATGGCGGGGGGGGTGGGGGGGTGGGTGGGTGCAGTGGCTTATGTCTGTAATCCCAGCACTTGGGGAAGCCAAGGCAGGCTGACTGCTTGAGCTCAGGAGTTTTGAGACCTGCCTGGGCAACATAGTGAGAGCCTGTCTCTACCAAAAATACCAAAAAATAGCCGGGTGTGTTCCTGTTGCTCCAGCTACTTGGGCAGCTGAGGTGGGAGGATTGCTTTCAAGTCTGGGGGCAGAGATTGCTGTGAGCCAAGATAGCGACACTGCCCTCCAGCCTGGGTGACAGAGAAAGAGACCCTGTCTCAGAAAAAAAAAAAAAAAAAACAAAGAATATACTTTTACATATCTTCTGTCTCCACAACCCTGGAAGTGATTATCAGTGAATATACAAGCAAGCACCTCATAAAAACCCTTAGCCTGTGTTAGAACGAAATTTCTATTAATTAGTGGTTATCTTTTAACTCTTAACCTTATAGGCTGGACCCTGTCCTATACCGCAAGTGTCAGGGTGATGCTTCTCGTCTTTGCCACACCCATGGTTGGAATGAGACCAGTGAACTTATGCCTCCTGGAGCTGTGTTCTCTTGTTTATACAGACACGCCTACCGCACTGAGGAACAGGGAAGGAGGGTATGCAGTCAATATTGACTTCATTTCTTCTTACTATCATTTGTTTTTTTAGTTGTTTGCTGTATATTCTTATTTCAATCGTCTTAGGAAAACTTTTTTAGACTATTTTGTGGGGAAAAGGTTCTACACTTCTAGAAACTTTTTCATTCTATTTTTAGGGGAGAAGGTTTTCTACACTTCTAGAAACTTATTTTTTAGACTATTTTGTGGGGAGAAGGTTTTACACTTCTAGAAACTTCTTCATTCTATGAGTGTACCTAGAATTGCCCTACCAGCTTCTATCATCTGATTTTATGTTTTTAACAAAGTAGGTGGGGGAAGATTTTCAGATTTTTTTCTTTAAATTCCCAAAATCTGAATCACAAATGGACAATTAAATTCTGCTGTCCTAACTTTATTTAGCTTCAGAGATCCACTGGAAGCTTTTAGCCAGGCCACAAATGGCTTTTACGCTTCTGTTCTTGGCAGCCGAACACATTCGCATTGTCTGCCCATGAACCGGTTGGAACAGAAACCTCCATACCTCAGTCTCCTGGTATTTGTCTGCCCCAACTTCTGCCTTTTGTTGGGATGTTTGTGTGGGAGCATCGGCTGCTTCTCCGGGTACACTGACATGTGCTTGTTCTCCAGGATGGCTTTCTCTCCCTTCTGAGACACTCCATTGTCAGTCCTCCCTTTCTTTGTTCCAGAGAATAGAGATGGTATCACCTCTCATCCATCCTTAGAAATAATACCCCTTCTGAGCTTAATGCAAAAGCCCGGCTACCTCTAATTCAGAATGAGGGGACTCAGAAGGAAATGGCATACTTCAGTTGCTGCACCCTAATCCAGTGTTTATACTGCTGTGTAAGAAAATATGGCAATTTGTTGTGACTGTTTTTTTTTTCTGTCTCATATAATGAGCCTCTCATTAACCATGGGGACTCCCAAATCCTGGCATCTTTCTAGTCACTGTAGTGACTGGGAAGTAGGAGGTTTCTTCTCTTTTAAATAAGAAAGAGTTGGAGTCTGGGTGTTAGTTTTCTTTTCTTTTTTTTAATTGAGGTGAAATTCACAGAACATAAAAGTAACTTTTTTTTTTTTTTTTTGAGACAGACTCTTGCTCTGTCGCTGAGCCTGGAGTGTGCTGGTACAATCTTGGCTCAGTGCAATTTCTGCCTCCTGGATTCAAGCAATTCTCCTGCCCCAGCCTCCCAAGTAGCTGGGATTAAAGGAGCCTGCCATCATGTCTGGCTAATTTTTTTTCCTTTTTGTATTTTTACTATAGATGGGGTTTCACCATGTTGGCCAAGTTGGTCTCGAACTCCTGACCCCAGGTGATCCTCCCACCTCAGCCTCCCGAAGTGCTGGCATTACAGGCGTGAGCCACCGCACCCAGCCAAATTAACCATTTTAAAAAGAAAAATTCAGTGGCGTATAGTACATTTATAGCGTTGTATGGTCCATCGTATCTATCTAGTTTCAAAACATTCCATGACTCCAAAAGGAAACACCATGTCCATTAAACAGTTATTCTCCGTCCCTCCTGTCCCAGGTAAGCTGCCCTTTTTTTTTCTTTTTTGCAAGAGAGACTGTACGTGTCAATAACAGCTTTCTCATGGCCCTTGGAAAAATACTAGTTTTCACCTGTGCTAATTCTGCATCACTCATTTAGAAGAGTCCAGTCTTGTCTCATAATAACTGTTGTGTCTACATTTGCCTGCTTTTTCTGATTTATGTCAGTTTGAACTCAGTTCTCCTAAGTCAAGTATATATGCTGTCTTGAATTGGATCTGACCTTCTACTTGGCATTCATAGACTGGCAAATTAGTTTTGCTGAACAAACCAACAAACACAAAACTTTCAACTAACCTAGTCTGAATGAAGCCAGTTCACTTTTATCAGGATACTCTCATAAAAGAATGTTTTTTATATGGTATGTTAGAAACTGTTGAATATAGATAATCGCATTCCTAAAGATAAGGCCTTTTTGAAGCCTCCTGCAACATTTAATTTTTATTCTGGAAGATATTTGAGGTATAAAATTTGGGAGATAAAATACAGGATTATTTGTTAGTTTCCTCATAACAGGCTTATCTCATATCTTTGTGTTTTTGTTTTGTTACCTTTCAAGTATTTAGCTCATTTTTTCTCATGCAGCTCTCACGGGAGTGCCGAGCTGAAGTCCAAAGGATCCTACACCAGCGTGCCATGGATGTCAAGCTGGATCCTGCCCTCCAGGATAAGTGCCTGATTGATCTGGGAAAATGGTGCAGTGAGAAAACAGAGACTGGACAGGTAGGTGACATTGCTTTCTATTTATCTCATAGTAATGATGATCTTAATGTTTAATGTTTTATCCAGAGTACAAACACCAGAAAATCCATCTCTCTTTACCTTACAGATGTGATTTGTTGTATTAGTCAATATTTTCTGTAGAAGAAATTCTTAGGAAAATTTTCTCTTTGGTCTGTGTATTAGGAATAGTTGGCAGCTAGTTTGTCTTTGCATTATGATTATTGTATTTTGTAATTGATTATTTTCCCTCCTCCTATTGCTTCTTAAAATGTCTAGAGCCAAAGATATGGCCTGCCTCTTGCAGGTATATAAGATTTCATAGTAGGCATTTTTGTAGTAAGCTTACTACTGCCTCCATTTCATATCCTCTTAACATGTTTTCCTTTCCTTTTTGTTCCTCATCTTTACTCATTTCACTCATTTTTAATTCATTTTCTCTGTTAAGTTCTTTTGAGATAAGCAGGGTGGAAATCTATGCGTACGTGAGTACTGGTCTGCATGAAGAGTGGGCATGCCCTGGAACAGGCCCACAAAATACGTAGAAATGGATTTTTTTCTTATCTGGTTGGCAAAATCGAAGCTTAGAAAAGCCAAATCTATGTATTTCCTTACCTGAAATTCAATTCGTTTCATTATATAGCCTCTCCATGTAGGAGCAGGCCCTAAGAATTACCTGCCTGCTGTGATTGCCTCCTTAGTACTATGTCCTAGTCTAAGGGAAAGAAGGAAAGATGCATGACTACATGTTACGTGGGAAGCTAGCATGCCTTCCATCTGAAAGCAGGATACTCAGCAGTAGAATAGCTGCATGTTTAAAGCCACATAAATACTCAAGGAACTCAGGTTTCCAGGTTCCATTTGTACCACTACAAAACCTCTTCTGGAAGTAGTGTGAAAAAGTCACACATACTGGAGTTGGATGTGTTAAAGAAGAAACGTGGTTGCCCACTCAGGTCTGTTGAGCATAGGAGTATCATTTTCAGCAGTCTTGCTACAATTCTGTTGGGTTTATTATTAGAAAATGCCAATAGTTGAGCTTTCTGTTTCCTCTGTCCAATGAAGCAAGGGATATGATAATTTGGAATTCCAGAAAACAGTTTCCTTTAGAACTCCCAGTAAAGTAAATTTTAGAAAGCTGCCCTACATTGCAGCCTATTGTGGAGAAGCTATACTTAAGGATTTTTTTCTTTTTTTGACAGAGTTTCACTTTGTCACCCAGGCTGGAGTGTAGTGGCATGATCTCGGCTCACTGCCACCTCTGCCTCCTGGGTTCAAGCAATGTTCTTGCCTCAGCCTCCTGAGTAGCTGGGATTGCAGCACCGGCCACAATGCCCAGCTAATTTTTGTATTTTAGTAGAGATGGGGTTCCACCATGTTGCCCAGGCTGGTCTCCAACTCCTGAGCTCAGGCAACCTGTGTATCTGGCCTCCCAAAGTACTAGGATTACAGGCATGAGCCACTGTGCCCAGCCAGGATTCAGATCCCATTAATAGGATCTTTCTCTTAGCTATTTATTTTACCCCCAAAAGTTCGGTGCATTTTCCTTTAGTTTTTCTTCTTTTTTCCTCCTCCTCCTCCTCCTCCTCCTCCTCCTCCACCTCCACCTCCACCACCACCTCCTCCTCCTCCTCCCTTTCTTCTTTCTTCTTTCTTCTTCTTTCTTCTTTCTTCTTTCTTCTTTCTTCTTTCTCCTCCTCCTCCTCCTCCTCCTCCTCCTCCTCCTCCTGTTGCTTCTCCTCCTCCCCCCCACCCCCCAATCATTCTGGCTGTTCTGTAATTCCCACAGCTCTCTCCTTCTCATTCTGATTCTGATTCTGAAACAGAGCGATTCTTGCAGAATAGTCAGTAAGTTAAACTTGATCCTTTAACGAAGCACTTTGCTGAGAAATAGCTGTTGATATGCTTTGGGAAAGTGAGCTGATGTTATACTTGAAACCTCTAAACCTCTAAAAGGAATAGTAATAGACTAGTGCTACAGATAGTTCCAGCTTGGTTTCCAAAGCCCAGACAAGATAGCTTTTAGGTACCTAAACCCTAGTGTGTTCACTTGTTTTCCTTCAGAGGATCCTTTTGATGTGTACTGGAGTTAGAATCCCATATCTGACTTACAGGAGTTATCAGTTCTATCCTGTGTTCTGGACCCCCAATCCCCAACTACTTTTTGCCAATAAAGAGTCTTAAAATAATCTGTGCTCTTCACTGTGAATTTGTCTGATGATCATTAATAAAGTGTGTATTTAAAATGTGAGGTAAAAGGTTATCAAAGCACAGATTCAAAATGGAATCAAGGCCTGACAAGGTTTTTAGACTTTGTTTCTCCTTGCACTAGTAAAGTTGGCCTTCTGAGGGATTTGCATGGCTCTTTTTTTTTTTTTTTAAGATGGAGTTTTACTCTTGTCACCCAGGCTGGAGTGCAGTGGCACGAACTTGGCTCACTGTAACCTCCGCTTCCTAGGTTCAAGCCATTCTGCTGCCTCAGCCTCCCGAGTAGCTGGGATTACAAGCACCCACCGCCACGTTAGCCTAATTTTTTTATTTTTAGTAGAGACAGGGTTTCGCCATGTTGACCAGGCAGGTCTCAAACTCTTGACCTTAGGTGATAGGCCCACTTTGGCCTCCCAAAGTTCTGGGATCAAGTATGAGTCACCATGCCTGGACTTTGCGTGGCTCTTGTACCCACTTGGCCCTCATAACCACCCTGCTATATCAAGTAATTATCTTTCCAACATTCTTAGTCTGGAGGATTAAACAAAGCCTTTGTGTTCTGTTCAGTGAAATAGTTTTAAAAAGAAGAGAAAGGGCCGGGTGCAGTGTCTCACACCTGTAATCCCAGCACTTTGGGAGGCCGAGGTGGGCAGATCACGAGGTCATTTCCAGACTAGCCTGGGCCAAAATGGTGAAACCCCATCTCTACTAAAAATACAAAAAAATTAGCTGGTCATGGTAGCAGGTGCCTGTAATCCCAGCTACTCAGGAGGCTGAGGCAGGAGAACAGCTTGAACCCTGGAAGCGGAGGTTGCAGTGAGCTTAAATCATGCCATCGTATTCCAGCCTGGGCAACAGAGCAAGACTCCATCTCAAAACAAAAAAAACAGAGAAAGGACCACTGAAAAGGGAAGTCATGACACTGGTATCTGTACTTACATTTCCCTTATTCATGTATGCGACTAATAAATGCCAGTTGTTTGCCTTTATATTTGTAGGAGCTTGAGTGCCTCCAGGACCATCTGGATGACTTGGTGGTGGAATGCAGGGATATCGTTGGCAACCTCACCGAGTTAGAATCAGAGGTAAGTGGTATGCAGCTTAGTCATTGGAGGAGAGTGGCTGCCAGCAGCCTGGCCTTTTGTGCTTGGTTCTACTGTTTCTAGATTCCTGAGAGTGCAGATTCTCTGTCAATGAAAAGAAGCCTATCGGATTCTCCCTATTTGCTTTATAAAGAAGTATATTGTGTTGCTTTGTGAACTCCTTCCCTCATTTCTCTAGAACAACTTCTATACAGCCCTTTTGGTTTCCTTCATAAATTAGATTTATCACCATCATTAGACCTGCCTTTGTTTCCCCCCTAAGATAGCAACTGTACTTCAAATCACTTAATCACATTCAAGAGCAATCTACAGATTCCCCTTCTCTTATCCTGTGCTCTTTTAGTTAGGTCATTTGGTAGTATTTGTGTGTTTCAGAGCATAAAAGCTGGGGACTTCCAGTAAACATGAAGATTGAATACATATGTTTATCCCGGGTTCCATCCTGAAACTCCCTAAAATATTAAAAATGGGATTAGAAACCCTCATAAAGCATTGGCACATTCTTTAGAAATTCAGAAGAGGGCAGCTAAAAATGTTAAAGTTGTTTTATGGGGGCAGAAATCAGAGAAGTGGGGAACTACCGTTTTGTCGTTAACCTTTTAGTACTATTTGAATTGTCATAATTGGCATTATGTAAAGTTACATTTCTCAACCAGTTCCTTTTTGCTTTCTAGTTTTCAGAAGTTGGTTGCCTTCTCTCATTTTATCATCTCTCACATTATCATTGTCATCATGGACTTACGAGAGCAGTCTGGGGTGTATAGCTCTTTAAAGGAAGGTGTTCTTTCAGGAGCTAGTGCTACATGGGTTTTTCTCCTTAAAGGCATTATTAGTATGTGTTCAGCAGAAACAGTGGTTTGGCATCTGCTTTGAGGGCAGTGCTCTAGCTTATGAGCTTATAAACTGAAGATGGATATCAGTTACCACTATTTTCATTTCGAACTGCTTAGCATTTTGGAAAAATCTCCAAAAGCTTTGCATATTCTAATGTCATTACTAAATTTGTTTTTACCTCACTTTTCTTAATTCTGCCTTCTCATTTGTTCAGGCAGAAAGGGAATATGCCTCTAAAAATTTGCCTTTCAAAGTATAACAGAGGAGCAGGTCTTTATTTATTCTGGGGCTGTCTACCTCAAATACTAGAATCGTTTGCAAAAGTACGTATTAGATTATTTGCCCATCAAATATTACTGATTCAGAAAGAGAAACTGCTCCTCCTCCATCCTGGCTCTTTCTAAAGTAGAATTATTAATATATTTAATCTTCTACAGGATATTCAAATAGAAGCCTTGCTGATGAGAGCCTGTGAGCCCATAATTCAGAACTTTTGCCACGTAAGTAATGTCTGGAGGAACAAGGGTTAAAAACAGAAACAGATTCACAGGGACTCTGCCCTGAGTATCTCAGACTCATCTCTGTCTTCAGCATATATTACTCTTGAATGACAGCCAGCTTTGACAAGTTAAAATTTAAAATATAAACAGTCCGGGTGTGGTGGCCAACACCTGTAATCCCAGCACTTTGGATCTAAGGAGAGTGGATCACTTGAGCCCAGGATTTCAAGACCAGCCTGGGCAACCTCGCAAAACTCCATCTCTACAAAAAATTAGCTGGGCGTGGTGGCACATACCTGTGGTTCCAGTTACCGAGGGGCAGAGGTGAAAGAATCACTTGAGCCCAGGAAGTCAAGGCTTGCAGTAAGCCTTAAATGCACCATTGCACCAGCCTAGGCAACAGAGTGAGACCCTGTCTCAAAAAAAAAAAAAAGTAAACAAGATCAAGAGAGAGGTGCCACCATCCTGGAGCCATGTTTGATTAGCCTTTGCAGGTAAGCAGGTATGTGGCTAGCAGCAGTTATTGAGATGCCTTTTTTTAAGAAGAGATGGAATAGTGAAGCCCCTGTTAGTAGTATGGCAGAGTTGATTCCAATGCATCAGCCTAGGAACTGTTAGCATCAGTCCAGGAAATGTTAGCAGTAATAGTGGCTCTTCCTTCCAGTTGTCTCCCAGTACCTCAATATTGACTGAATTCTGATTATTTCATATTCATTTATTGAACTGCTAAATTACGAGAGTGAAAAGTACACAGAAACTATTGGGATCTGACAGTTGGGAGGCTGTGTTAGAGATTATCCCAAAAGCTAGCTGCTGACATCATACAAGGAAAGTTTAAAAAAAAAAGTGTGTAGGCTTGTCTCATGCAGAATATGCCACTGAATGTATTTCTCAGGCTTATTTTGATACAATTTATGGTGTGTCTTTTTTATTTTTTATTTTTATTTTTTGTGAGGGCCTCTAGAATCAACGCTGCTTGCATTTATTTAGGACTGGGCTAAAGTTTTGTTCATTAATTGTTACCAGTGAAGTGTAAATGTGTGCTGTCTTCCCTAGGATGTGGCAGATAACCAGATAGACTCTGGGGACCTGATGGAGTGTCTTATACAGAACAAACACCAGAAGGACATGAATGAGAAGTGTGCCATCGGAGTCACCCACTTCCAGCTGGTCAGTGACACCTAGCTGCCGATTTCCAATCATAGCTGCCTGGACGGTGACTGAATCTCTTCCTTTTTTGGAACATCAGAGGACCTCTGATGTTCTGTTAAAAAAACATTTTTTCCAGCTGGGTGTGGTGGCTCATGCCTGTAATCTCAGCACTTTGGGAGGCCGAGGTGGGTGGATCACTTGAGGTCAGGACTAGCCTGCCCAACTTGGTGAAACCCCATCTCTACTTAAAATACAAAAAAATTAGCCAGACGTGGTAGTGCTTGCCTGTAATCCCAGCTACTGGGAAGGCTGAGGCAGGAGAATCACTTGAACCTGGGAGGCAGAGGTTGCAGTGAGCTATCACACCTCACTGCACTCCAGCCTGGGCGACAGAGCAAGACTCTGTAGATAGGTAGGTAGGTAGGTAGATGGGAAGACTGTCTCTGGGTGGATGGACTGATGGACTCTGTCTCCAGGTAGATAGAAAGATACATATATATATATATAGAGAGAGAAAACGCACTCAAGACTCTGCAGATGGATGGATGGAGGATGGACAGATGGAGAGAGAGATGGCGAGACTCTGTCTCCAGATAGATAGACAGGTATAGATAAATCGATAGATAGATTAGATTAAGAGATTAAGATAGATATAGAGAGATAGATAGCCAGCCAGCCTACCCACCCAGAGCTGACATTTGAGTAAGATAGTTTGAGCTTTTTATAGTTACCACATGTAACTACAGGAAGTGTTTCTGGTATAGCAAGGGCTTCCTTCTGAGGAAGATGAAATCTGGTCAGCTGTGTTAATTGACTCCTTGTTAGGGCACACAGCCTGCCTGACTGTGCATTCAGCAAGTGTTGAGTGTCTCTGAAGTCGAGTTACTGGGGGACAGTGGTGAGATGGATGAGCCCCTTGCCCTTGTGGACTCTAGATTCTAGTAAGAGAAGATACAAAAGCAAGTGTGCAAATAAATGGATAATCTTGGGTGGTTCTAGAAAGAAAAAGCAAAGCAGAAAAAGGGGCTGGAGTGTGAAGAAGAAAGGGGGCTCCATAAAGAGGTACTTGAATAGAAACCTGAAAGAATAGCAGAGCAAACCATGCAAAGGACTGAGAGAAGAGTAATTTAGACAGAGGGAACAGCGTGCGTGTGACTGGAATGACCATGAAGCCAGTATGCCTGTTTTGGGGGAGTACTGGAGAGATTAGCAGGTCGTGGTGTCTCAGGTGTAGAGCAAGCCACACAGGGTCTTGTCAACAGACTTGTGAGGGCTGTATGAAACTTGTCCCCTACCACTACTGACTACAACTTGCCACAGAACTTCCAACTTTCTTTTCACCCTTCAGGTGCAGATGAAGGATTTTCGGTTTTCTTACAAGTTTAAAATGGCCTGCAAGGAGGACGTGTTGAAGCTTTGCCCAAACATAAAAAAGAAGTATGTAGATTTTAATTGTTTCATTCCACTTTCCCAAAGTCCCTCTTAGCTCCTGAATGAATATGTGAGATGTCAGGCAGCCCTCCTGCTGCCTGGTGGGGTTGGCTCTGAAGGCCTCCTGCTCTCTCCTTTGATACTGTTACAAACACTTGGACTGTCTAGACAGAGCATCTGGCAGTGGTAGGTGTCACGTGGAGATCCCGTAGGCTAAAGGAGCATTTTTAATTGTTCCAGGTAAGGCCATCTGACTGATGAAGCAGGGATGAATTGTGTACTTAGAGAAGCAGGGTGCAGTGTGAGTGAAAGAGGCGAATTGACTTCTTCCATGCATCGTCCCATTATGTCATCTCTTCTAAGATGCAGCAGTTTTTGTACTTGGTTAGATACTTAGTGAAGAAACAGAATCTTTATTCATTTAAGAATTAGATCTTGGCCAGGCATGGTGGCTCACACCTATAATCCCAGCACTTTGGGAGGCCGAGGCAGGCGGATCATGAGGTCAAGAGATCAATACCATCCTGGCCAACGTGGTGAAACCCCGCCTCTTAAAAAAAATTTGTACCAGTGGATGAATGTTTTGTTTAAAAAAAAAAAAAAAAAAATTAGGCCTTAATGAGGAAATTGATAAGCTTTTTCAGCATGGCTGCCCAAATTCTTCCACGTTGATCTTTGAAAGGCACATTTCTAGAACACTTGCCCTCATATAGAGCAAGTTTCATAGCAGGTCAAAGGCACAGTCCTGGAGTTAAGAGCAGCATTTCTCTGTGGTCAGATGTATTTAAGAGAAGTTTTGAACTGTCCTTGCACACATGTGCCCTCTCTGGCTTCTCCAGTCAGCAGTATAGTCAGCGTTCAGGCTGCTGCCTGCCTTTCATGACACCCACAGTCAAACTGCACCTTTTAGCACCCTGAAAAAAATATGCATACAGCAAAGACATTCCCCAAAAGGGCGTCCTGAATTCTTAGTTAATGACGTGACCCCTGCCCCAGCGAGGCTCTCAGGTCATCTGCCCTTGCGTGGCTTCAGCTAGCTTCAAGCTTCTCCTTTTACTCACAGGGTGGACGTGGTGATCTGCCTGAGCACAACTGTGCGAAACGATACTCTGCAGGAAGCCAAGGAACACAGGGTGTCCCTGAAGTGCCGCAGGCAGCTCCGTGTGGAGGAGCTGGAGATGGTAATGCCTCCCAGCCTCTGCTCCCAGAAACCACAGTGGGCCAGGGCTAGGAAAGCTGGGGAGAGGCTAGGACAAGGGGGAGGCTTTTAGCCACTACTGTGAGGGTTGAGACTTGAAGTCTTGTGCTAAAGTTTTACCATATGACCATTAACTTGCTGTGTCCTTTTTATTTTCATTGATAAAACCTTTCTTACCACACATGACAGGAAGTCCAACTGTAAGACAGGCTCTAATTAAGCATGCGATCCAGTCACTGGATCAATAATGTCCTTGGGGACTGCGCACAGGTGGCTCACGCAGGTAATCCCAGCACTTTCGGAGGCCAAGGCAGGTGGATTGCTTAAGGTCAGGAGTTCGAAATCAGCCTAGCCAACATGATGAAACCCTGTCTCTACTAAAGGAGATTGGGGCCAGCATGGTGTGGCTCATGCCTGTAATCCCAGCATTTTGGGAAGCTGATGCGGTCGAATCACTTGAGGTCAGGAGTTCAAGACTAGCCTTGCCAACATGGCAAAACCCGAACTCTACCAAAAAGACAAAACTTAGCCAGGTGTGGTGGCACATGGCTATCATGTCAGCTACTCAAGAGACTGAGGCAGGAGAATTGCTCGAACCCAGGAAACAGAGGTTGCAGTGAGCCAAGACCATGCCACTGTACTCCATCCTGGATGACAGAGCAAGACTCTGTCATTAAAAAAAAAAAAAAATGCTTACTTCAAGCTGGAAGGTTTGGTCTCTAACTTTGAGTCTGGCTCTTTAATTAAAGTAATAATAAAAGTAGAACCCTGTGTTTATATAGTGGTTTTGACTTTCCAAGTGATTTTCACATCTCGCAGCAATCCTTTGAAGGACTAGATATGGTGTTTCAGGGTAGATGTGGCTTTCTATTTTGCAAAGAAGGTCCAAGACCATGCAGCTAGTTGGTGACAGAATTGAAAGTAAAGCCTGATTCTCTTGCTGCAAGGCCACTTTGCTGTGTAGAAGACAGGGTCACTAGACAAGATGCAGTCACCAGATAAGTCTATAGAACATTTGACATCTCCACCCTAAACCAAGCTCACCTTTCCATGCTGACTCCTTCATGCAGACAGAGGACATCCGCCTGGAGCCAGATCTGTATGAAGCCTGCAAGAGTGACATCAAAAACTACTGTTCCACTGTGCAGTATGGCAATGCTCAGGTAACCTTTTGCTTTTGTTTATTTATATATTTATTTTCTTTTTAATTTTTTTCTTTTTTCTTTTGCTTTTATTTTTTAATTGTAAAATAATTTGAAAGTAACATTTAATCTTTTCTCAAAAGCTGGTGCCCAAAAGAGGGTTACTTTGTAGTCATTAAGTTTTGGCTATTAAGACAGGACCCATCTCATCCCATCCAACCTAATCATCCATTCTTAAGCTACACCAGGCTGTTTTTTCCATATCTTCACCTTCACTCCTCTCTAATTCATTTTCTTCCTTTTTTCAGATTACCTCATCCTTCCCTACCTTGTCTGCCTAGTAAACTCTTAATGATCCTTGGGATGCGTCGTCCTCTGTAGCCTGCCCAGCGCTCTGCACCTCCAGAATTAACCATTTTCTCATTGTGTTCCCATTGTACACAAGTTCTTAATTAGAGGTCACATCAGAATCACCTAGGACACTTTTTTTTTTAATACACAGAAACAGAACCCTATCCAGAATTGCCAGGAGTGAAATACAAACAAGTGATTTTTTAAAAAATGTTCTCCTTATGACTCAGCTACCTCTTCTAGTTAAGGGCCATGGGGCTCTAGCCTTTGAGATAATTCCTTCATTGTCCTCTTGTATCTACTGTTGCGGATGCAAAGTCTGATGTCAAGTTTGTGTCTCATTGCTTTGTTTGGTTTTAGAGTCTTTGCTTTATCTGTAGTGATCTGTAATTTCACTGTGATGTGATTAGGTATGGTTTTTGTTTTTGTTGTGCTCATCCTGGTTGGCTCTTGCAGTCACAATCTATGTCTTTTTTCATTTCTGGGATAGTCTCAATCATTGTTCTGTCACATGTTGCTTTCCCTTTCCTTCCTTCTGGAACTCCTGTTTTAGACAATTGGAGCATCTGAGTCCATCTTCCATGTCTCTCTCGTTTTTTTTTTTTTTGAGACAGAGTCTTGCTTTGTTGCCAGGCACCAGGCTGGAGTGCAGTGGTGCAATCTCGGCTCACTGCAATCTCCGACTCCTGGGTTCAAGCATTTCTCCTGCATTAGTCTCCCAAGTAGCTGGGACTACAGGTGTGTGCCTGTACATGCCTGGGCATTACCATGCCCAGCTAATTTTGTATTTTTTAGTAGAGATGGGGTTTCACCATGTTAGCCAGGATGGTCTCAATCTCTTGACCTTGTGATCCATCCATCTCGGCCTCCCAAAGTGCTGGGATTACAGGCGTGTGCCACCGTACCCAGCCCCCATGTCTCTTTAACTTTTCTTTGGCACTTTTCATTTCTTTGGTACTACATTTTAGGTAATTATTTGATTTTCTTTCCCACCTTATAATTTATTCTTCAGTTCTGTCTATTCTGACACTACCAATCAGGTTTTGTTTTCCATTTCCTAAATTTCTCATTGCTTCTTTTCATAACCATCTGTTCTTGATTCTTTCTTACTGTTGGCTTCTGTGTTGTTCTAAGGACTTTAAATGTATTTTAAAATTCTTGTTTTGATTGCTCTATCACACCTTTCCCTCAGTTTTTGAGTCCTTGGTTCATTTTATTTATGACCTTTCTTATGATATTAGTGTTCCTCAACTAGTTAGTGATTCCTGGTCATGTCTTGAGGATTTCCCAGATATCTGATGGCTTCCTGCTATAGCCCAGCTGCTGCACCTTCCCATCTGCCTTCCTTCTTTCTTTTCATAATATCTAAAGGTTTAGTGTAGGGAAGGGAAAATTTCAGGATATACTTAATTCACTATCTTAAAATTCATCTCACGACAATTTATGCTTTTGTATTTTGAGTGATAACTCATCTTTTTTAAAAATTATATTTGTTTACATAAGTTTGCCATGTGCAGCTCTGAATTTATGAGGCTAAGAATTGGGTCTAATTCATAACTAGCATCCAATAGTCTTTCTCAGGTGGTAAATAGTGGGTTGAATTGAACCTCCTGGCTTGTACCTGCTGTCTAGTTGGGGCTGTTGGCTCTGGGAAAATGCAGATAGCCTATTGTGTGCTCCAGAAGGAATCTAGACAAGAAGCAACTCTGGAAGGTGGAAGAAACCGGATACCCTGGGCGTGTTTCTTTCCCGTTAGACTCCAGCGCACCCTGCCAGTCATACTGGGTTTTTATCCAGTTGAGTTTGCTGTCAGCTCTAAAGTTGTAAATCTCTAAACATAATTCTCCTTGGTGAGAAAATCCAGATTCCTATTGCCTGGGAATTAGAAATGGATAGAGAAGTGGGAGGCACACTGGAACCAAATGCTTCAGTCAAACAGGTGGATAATCAGTCCCTAACATCGCTCAACTTGATTGTAACTCTTATGCTGTAGATTATTGAATGTCTGAAAGAAAACAAGAAGCAATTAAGCACCCGCTGCCACCAGAAAGTATTTAAGCTACAGGAGACAGAGATGATGGACCCAGAGCTAGACTACACCCTCATGAGGGTCTGCAAGCAGATGATAAAGGTGAGGGGCCAACACCAAAGGCCGGGCACAGGGGAGCAACAAAACAACAAAGCACAAACAACCACAGCAACTTCCTCAGTCCCAGCTTTCTCTCAGTGTGGTCCTTAGACCAGCAGCAGTGGCCACAGCACCCCTGGGAACTTGCAGATTCCTGGGCTGAATTAGAAGCTCTGGGAGTAGAGCACAAAGCTTCTTAATAGCCTCCCCAGGGGATTCTGATGCAGGCTCAAGTTTGGAAACCACAGAGCTGAGAAAACTGACCTAGCTTTGTCCTGAGACACAAGTAAATAGATGTGCAATAAATAGATGATTGGTTTTGAGGACAACTCCAGGTAGCTATACTGAGAAAGTGACCATCTAGTGTTCTGATCATCCATCTGCCACACTCAGATTTTTCTGTTCTACAGATTGTTTTGCTTCATTCCCTCCTTCACCAGATGTTCTCTGCATCAGGGCTGAGCTGATTACCTAGATGTCAGTTCCTTGATCTAGCCACACACATAAGGAGACTCAACTCAAGGTTCAGATGGGCAAGGTGGCTCACGCCCATAATCTCAGCACTTTGGGAGGCCAAGGCGGGAGAATCACCTGAGCTCAGGAGTTAGAGAGCAGCCTGGCCAACATGGTGAAACCCCGTCTCAACTAAAAATACAAAAATTAGCCTGGTGTGGTAGTGCGTACCTGTAGTCCTAGCTACTCAGGAGGCTGAGGCAGGAGAATCACTTGAACCCCGGAGGTTGAGGCTGCAGCTGCAGTGAGCTGAGATCGCACTGCTGCACTCCAGCATGAGCAACAGAGCAACATTCTGTCTCAAAAAATAAAAAAAAAAATTAATTTAAACTCAAGGTTCTAGCTCCTTTATTTCAGCTTTCCTTTAAATTAAAATGCTACTTTTTACACTATCAAATAACATCCAGAGAGAATTTGGAATTTACAATGTAAATCTTTTTAACTGGCCTGTTGAAATTGAGTCATATGGAAATGTCAGGCTCTGATCTGAGAGCGCTTTGTAAGATTTTCTAAAAGTCAGTGAGCAATCCCTGTCCCCGTAACAAGATGTCAGCAGATTATAATCACATGTTTTAGAGAACTAGAAACAGAACCAGGAAGAGAGGCTCAATGCTCAATTGTCTCAACTAGGGTGTATCAGACACTGTGACACTTGAAGACTTGTGGATTTGCAGAACAGAGATGGAGTTTATTACTAGTCCAAAACTAATCTCTGATTTAATGGACAGCAGTAAGTGTACAGGGCCCTAGTTCTTTACTGCTTGGTAGGATTATAGCCCTTTAGTTAAAATGAACCAGTGAGTCCTTACCCCACATCCTTATTCATATTGGTTAGTGGAGAATTCCTAGGTTTTCCCACAGGACTTGGGTGGATAGGGCTTGAGGGCTACACAGCCACCTGGTACAGTGTTACATTCATGCTTAAATAATAAGTAGGTTCCTGAGATGTCATTTAACTTAACATCGCCTTCTAGATAGGAAACCAGTCCCATGCCAAAGTAAGAACCAGTGAGGTAGTGAAAAGAAATGTGAGAAATACAGTAGAGAATGCTTGTTCAGGCTTAGCTGCTCCTCTTGTACCATACGACACCTTCAGGCTGCTGCTTTCATCAGCTTTCTGATAGACGTTATGGGTGATCACAGGCTAGTCCAAGTGCAGTGGTGTTTACAACTAATTGAGCACAGCCAGTACAGATTTATTTGTTCCTTCTACACCTATGTTGCTGCACTTGATCATCCTTTAAAAAAAAAAAAGTGGCAAGGAAATGGTGGCTCACGACTATATCCCAGCACTTTGGGTGGCAGAGGCAGGCAGATCACCTGAAGTCAGTAGTTCAAGACCAGCCTGGCCAATATGGTAAAACCCCATTTCTACTAAAAAAAAAAAAAAATAGAAAAATTAGCTGGGGGTGGTGACACACACCTGTAATCCCAGCTACTCGGGAGGCTGAGGCAGGAGAATCACCTGAACCCAGGAGGTGGAGGTTTCAGTGAGCCAAGATCGCGCCACTGCACTCCAGCCTAGATGACAAAGCAAGACTCTGTCTCCCCCCTAAAAAAGCGGTTGCAGATGAGTTAATTGCCGTATTTGGATAGCTGTTTTTATAAAACTGTTTTCTTTGCAGAGGTTCTGTCCAGAAGCAGATTCTAAAACCATGTTGCAGTGCTTGAAGCAAAATAAAAACAGTGAATTGATGGATCCCAAATGCAAACAAATGATAACCAAGCGCCAAATCACCCAGAACACAGGTAAGAGCTTGGCTTGGCTCTCCTGGCCCCGTTGAGTATCTTAAAAGGAATTCAGTGGCTGTAGCGTGACCTGATCAAACTCCTGGGAATTTGAAGGGAGGAGTCTGAGTGTAAGCAGGAGACTTCCTTTTCTGAGGAGCATCCAGAAAAACGGAGGGAGAGTCAGGGGAGAGAGGAGGCCAGAAGAACCAGAAAACTGCCCTTCAAGAACGTTCAGAAGAAATCAGGGCCAGCATTCCTTGGAAGGAGAAATCTAGAAATTCAATAAAACTTGATGAGTGTGGCAGGAGAATGTATGGGTAACCTAGTTCGGAACAGAGACATTTCAACTCTGAGTTGGAAGACTTTGTAACTTCGTGGGCACAGTGAGTTGGATATTGTATTTCCTTCTAAGTATTCTCAAAAATATCTGTTACGGAGAAGGTTGCTGATGTCTGCTTGATTTTTCTGAGGACTCCTTACCTTAGACTGTTGGAATCCCCGTGAAACCCCTCAGAGTAGAAAGATTCCTGAGGACCTCCAGAAGTACTCATTAACTAAATCATATTGTGATTAAAAACAGTGTAGTGAGAACTCAGTAAATGTTTATTGAATAGACAGATTCATGGTTGTAGTCATGGTCATTGACATAATATGCTCCCTTTAGGAAGGTGGATATCTAAAAATGTGTGAATCCAAGGTGGAATATTTGTCACCCACTCTCTGCTTTCTGCTCTAGATTACCGCTTAAACCCCATGCTAAGAAAAGCCTGTAAAGCTGACATTCCTAAATTCTGTCACGGTATCCTGACTAAAGCCAAGGATGATTCAGAATTAGAAGGACAAGTCATCTCCTGCCTCAAGCTGAGATATGCTGACCAGGTAAACTGGCCTGGGCTCTCTACAAAGGTATATTTATGGAGCCTCTATCCCTGGGAATTTTCTCTTTTGAAATCCCTAGCTTGTTCTGGTTTTCCAAAAACCTTTTTCATATCTTCCCCAAGCCGGTGGGGCTAAGGGGCCAGATCAGAAGCAGACTTTTTTTTCTTCTTCTTTTTATTTTATTTTTCTCGTGTCCTGCTTTTGCATTTTCTGATCAGCCAATGTATCCTCCCTTTGTCACAAGCAGCGCCTGTCATCAGACTGCGAAGACCAGATCCGGATCATTATCCAGGAGTCCGCCCTGGACTACCGCCTGGATCCTCAGCTGCAGCTGCACTGCTCAGACGAGGTGGGATTTGTTGCAAAGTTGGTTGCACACGGAGCCACTCAGAGAAGTTTTCACTGGAGAAAAGTTGTTTGCTTTCTTTCCCTTCAGTCCTGAATAATCTGTGATGAATTGAAGGCTGTCTTCTAGGCTCTCCATGGTCTGCGTTCCTGTTCTCTGTAACACTGAATTCTATTTGGTGTTAGTCCTGACACTGTACAGCATTGGTTGCATATTTCTCTATTGAATGAGGGTATTCTTTCATTATAGTTTTCCTTGTAAATTTGTTCTTCCCTTCTCCTTATTCTGTATGGTCAACTCAGAATACCCCAAGACTTCCCAAAAAGATAAAAGTACTTCCAGCTGGGCACAGTGGCTCATGCCTGTAATCCAGTACTTTGGGAGACTGAGACGGGTAGATCACTTCAGGTCAGGAGTTTGAGAACAGCCTGGCCAACACGGTGAAACTTCATGTCTACTAAAAATACAAAATTAGCCTGGCGTGGTGTTACACACCTGTAATACTAGCTTCTTGGGAAACTGAGGCAGGACACCACTTGAACCCAGGAGGTGGAGGTTACAGTGAGCTGAGATGACACCACTGCACCCCAGCAACAGAGCAAGACTCTGTCTCCAAAAAAAAAAAAAAGGCACTTCTATAATGGCTGTAAGGGAGTGCCCATCCTTGGAATTTATTGGACTTCTTAGCTAGAAGAAAAAGACCATGTGTACAGCCCTGTTCAACATATGTCAGTTTCAGGAGCTCATAGCAAAAGCTGTACAAAAAAGCTTCCTCATAAAACTGTCCAAAGAAAGGTAAGGTTTTTGACCAGCACAGTGGCTCATACCTGTAATCCCAGCACTTGGGATGCCAAGGCAGGTAGATCATGAGGTCAGGAGATTGAGACCATCCTGGCCATAGTGAAACCCCATCTCTACTAAAATACAAAAAATTAGCCAGGCGTGGTGATACTGCACACCAGCCTAGGAACAGAGCAAGACTCTGTCTCAAAAAAAAAAAAAGATTAGGATTTTTGTCTTTGCTGTGGGCTGTGGGCTGTGTTTCTCAACCCCTGTGTATGTGTGCATGTATGTGGGTGTGTGCATGTGCACACTTTCTCAAGTTGTGAATCTGGGTTAACCCTGAACCTATGTGAATGTCGAGTGTTTGCTTTCCATATTTTATTTGGTTATATAACCTTGCTTCTACGGAATCAAGTAGCAGCCTTCTTTTTGACAAGTCCTGAGATCTGACTCCAGTCTCAGTGTTGACAGCGTAGATACAACATTTATTGATTTTCCATTCGGTGTGCTAGTCCTTGTGAAGAATGAAGCCTGGCATCCAATACAGGAGGAGGGGCATGAAACCCACCAGGAAGCTGTTTGAGATGAGGTCTGGCACAGGTGTGGGAGGATCATCAAACTGACATGTTTAGAGACCAAGGATTCTGGTGATAGCAGTGCCACCACCCCTGGCTTGTAAAACAGCAGTGGACCACTAAAGAGGGGCACAGATTCCTCAGTTTCCAGTGCTGATTGGAATCACTGGACCCATCTGCTTTTGAGACTGTTGGTTCAGGCTGGGTGTGGCAGCTCACATCTATAATCCCAGCACTTTGGGAGGCCAAGGTGGGAGGATCACCTGAGGTCAGGACTTTGAGACCAGCCTGGCCAACATGGCAAACCCCCATCTTTACTAAAAAAAAGTCTGTCAGGCATGGTGGCACATGCCTGTAGTCCCAGCTGCTTGGGAGGCTGAGGGAGGAGAATCACTTGAACCTGAGAGGCAGAGGTTGCAGTGAGCCCAGGTCACACCACTGCACTCCAGCCTGGGCAAGAGAGCTTGACTCTGTCTCAAAAAACAAAACAAGACAAAACAAACCTGTTGGTTCGTTTCTGTGCTCAATGGGATGGCTTTGTGTTTTGTGTCTCCTGAACAGATCTCTAGTCTGTGTGCTGAAGAAGCAGCAGCCCAAGAGCAGACAGGTCAGGTGGAGGAGTGCCTTAAGGTCAACCTGCTCAAGATCAAAACAGAATTGTGTAAAAAGGTAACCACCGTCACCTTGTTTTCCTCACTACATTTTCTTTTCTTCTTCTTCTTCTTCCTTTTAATACTGTAGTCTGCCTACTTTGGTAACAAAACTAAAAATCTAAACCTTCTGCCCACCACTCTTTTCTTGCTATTCCTTCTTACCAAATTTTCATTTGGTTCTTGACTGCTCATCTCCTATAATGTGAATATTCTTTTCACATGTACTAATTACACATGACTGTGTGTCATCCCCATGACTAGATCATTGTTTAAAGATACTGTGAGTATAATACCAAAGCCAAGTGCCAGTACCAATGTTCCAAGTGTCAGTAAATGTTCCACATTCATAGAAATCAGTGAAACTAGTTCATTTCAGAAATGTCATATAAAAACATTTTTCCAAATATGACCACTAAGCATACATTATCTTGCAAAATTGAAGGTGAAATAATTTACTTTATCTTTTTTTTTTTTTTTTGAGTTGGAGTTTCGCTCTTGTTACCCAGGCTGGAGTGCAATGGCACAATCTCGGCTCAGCACAACCTCCGCCTCCTGGGTTCAGGCAATTCTCCTGCCTCAGCATCCTGAGTAGCTGGGACTACAGGCACACGCCACCATGCCCAGCTAATTTTTTGTATTTTTAGTAGAGACGGGGTTTCACCATGTTGACCAGGATGGTCTCCATCTCTTGACCTTGTGATCCACCTGCCGCGGCCTCCCAAAGTGCTGGGATTACAGGCGTGAGCCACTGCACCCGGCCCACTTGATCTTTTTTTAAAAAAAAAAAAAATAGCCTTTTATAAAAGAGTTTCGTTGATGTCATTATGGAATCATTGAATATTGTATGCAGATTTTTTCATCTGCTAAAAATGTTTCTGATTCCACATTGTCTGAGGAATGGTGGGAGTGGGTGAAAGCTAGATCCATACATTGTCCTCTTCCTCCTTTATCATCACATCTTCCCATATAACTTTGGGGAGGATTTCGGAATATTATTTGGCTTTTGGTTTTCGGTTTTGATTCCTGTTATTGCTGTTTTATAGGAACTAGAGTCTTGAATGGAGCACACTAACTTTTATATATGGCAACATTTCCAACCTGTCTTTACTCTCATAGTTCCCTTATGTATAAATGGAGAGTCTGCAGAGTTGATTTCAGTTCCATCATGTTGATATTCCTCTCATTCAGAATTATCTGTAAACACAAATAAGAATTGCTCTTGTAGTAGATGTTATGCTCGTCCATTCTGCTTTTCTTTCCGAGAATGACAGAAGTAAAGTAGAACATTTTGTAAACAAATATGCCTTTATCTAATTGAGTTTTTTTTTTTTTGAGATAGGGTCTCACTCTGTCTCCCAGGATGGGTGCAGTGGTGCAGTCATAGCTTACTGAACCTCAAACTGGGTTCAAGCAATCCTCCCACCTCTACCTCCCAAGTGGCTAGGACTACAGGGCCCACAACTATGCCCAGCAATTTTTTTTTTTTTTGAGACAGAGTTTCACTCTTGTTACCCAGGCTGGAGTGCAATGGCACGATCTCGGCTCACCGCGACCTCCACCTCCTGGGTTCAGGCAATTCTCCTGCCTCAGCCTCCTGAGTAGCTAGGATTACGGGTATGCACTACCATGCCCAGCTAATTTTTTGTATTTTTAGTAGAGACAGGGTTTCACCATGTTGACCAGGATGGTCTCAATCTCTTGACCTCGTGATCCACCTGCCTCAGCCTCCCAAAGTGCTGGGGTTACAGGTTTGAGCCATTGCGCCCAGCTAATTTTTTTTTTTTTAATTTTCTGTTGAGATGGGGTCTTGCTGTGTTACCCACACTAGTCTCAAACTCCTGGCCTCAAGTGATCTTCCTACCTTGTCCTCCCAAAGTGCTGGGATTACAGGCGTGAGCCACCACTCCCAGTCCTGATTAAGAATTTTAATATAGCATGTATAGCATATTACTCTGATTTTAAGATTTCATGTGTTTTCATATTTCTTTTTTTTTTTTTTTGAGACAGAGTCATCCACTGTTGCGCAGGCTGTAATGCAGTGGTGCAATCTTGGCTCACCGCACCCTTGAACCTCTTCAACCTCCGTCTCCCAGGTTCAAGCATTTCTCCTGCCTCAGCCTCCTGAGTAGCTGGGATTATAGGTGCACACCACCATGCCCAGCTAAGTTTTGTATTTTTAGTAAAGACAGCTTTTCACCATGTTGGTCAGGCTGGACTCAAAACGCCTGCATGATCCACCCACCTCAGCCTCCCAGAGTGCTGGGATTACAGGCGTGACCCACCATGCCTGACGTTTTCATATTTCTTTATGTAACACAATCGTATCATACCAATAAAAATATTAACATTTAACATTTATATTAAAACAAAATGACATGACATATGGGACTGCCAGAAACCCAGATCTGATCTTTGGGTCACTTACAGTCCCCTGCTTTTTTTAAACACACAGTTTTGTATCTCTAAAAAGGTAGTTATTCAATTAAATTGGGTGCTAAAGATCTGCATTCTGTACATCATCAAGGTAGTTTCTGTTGTTAGCCCTCAACTTTCCCCGATTAACTTGTTGATTTGATTTACAAACAATAGATCTGATGCATTTCCCCTACAAAAGCTCTGTCTGCAATGACCCTCCCTTTCCAGGAAGTGTTAAATATGCTGAAGGAAAGCAAAGCAGACATCTTTGTTGACCCGGTTCTTCATACAGCTTGTGCCCTGGACATTAAACACCACTGCGCAGCCATCACCCCTGGCCGCGGGCGTCGTAAGTCTCTGTGTTCATTCTGATCCTGCCTGAACCCTCTTGGGAAGACTCCCTCTTAGACATCAGTTGCAGCTACTGTGGTCTATAGCTATAACCCAGTCATAGACGGCATTCCCAGCGGACCTGAGTGATGCCAAAACTAGGCGTTTGTGGCATCATGAAATTAGGAATAAGCCTGCAGGTTTGAACTGACCTAATCATGACCAGAGCTGCAGATTTGATGAGAAGGGAGAGTTGAGGTGTTTATCAGGGAAGCAGGAGTTAAATTATCATCATGGTCCTTTTCCCTGAACCCAAACCAAAAACTGCTTCATACGCTTCCCCAGTGGCCACAGTGGACTCAGTAGATAGGCTCCCTGACCAGGTGTGAACGTTCTTTCTGAACCATGTATGCCCAAATAAAACTAAGAGAAGTTATTTGGTTTTGTTTTATTTTTATTTATTTATTATTTTGAGACAGTCTCTCTCTTGTCCAGGCTAGAGTGTGGTGGCATGATCTCGGCTCACTGCACCCTCCACCTGCTGGGTTCAAGTGATTTTTCACGTCTCGCCCTCCTGAGTAGCTGAGACTGCAGGCACCCACCACTGTACCTAGCTAATTTTTGTATTTCTTAGTAGAGACAGAGTTTTGCCATGTTGGCCTGGGTAGTGTCAAACTCCTGACCACAAGTGATCGACCCACCTCTGCCTCCCAAAATGCTAGGATTACAGCCATGAGCCACTGCACCCAGCCTGTTTTCATTTTAATTTTTTGAGACAAGGTCTTACTATATCATAGTCTCAAACTCCTGGGCTCAAGGGACCCTCCTGCTACAGCCGTCCAAGTATGTGGGATTACAGATGCTTGCCACCACATCTGGCTCTTAAAAATAAGGAGGTTTTAAGAGAGACTTTGAATGCCAACTCTGGAGGTAACATGTCATTTCTCTCTCTTGTTGGATCCTGGGTCAAGTTTCCTAGTATGTCTTTAACTTTGTTGAACCTACAGATCTGAATCTGGTGGTTGTGGACCCTTTCCCCAACTTTGCAGGAATTTCTCTATTCTGCAGTTTCGGGTCTCTCCTATTACTTGTTTCCTCCCACAGAAATGTCCTGTCTCATGGAGGCACTGGAGGATAAGCGGGTGAGGCTACAACCTGAGTGCAAAAAACGCCTCAATGACCGGATTGAAATGTGGAGTTACGCAGCAAAGGTAAGGACCAAAAATATCTCCTTTTTTTTTTTTTAAATAAAAATATATGGAACACTTCACCAATTTGCATGTCATCCTTGAGCAAAGGCCATGCTGCTCTTCTCACTGGTTGTCCAGTCTCTTTTAGATAGTGTACTGGCCTTATCCGTATCATGATACTATCAATAAGTGTGTTTGAAAACGTGGTCAGTGTGTTTTTAAAATTCCTTGGCTGTCCATGAGCCTGGAGCCGTCTCCCTGTAGGTCGGGCTGTCTGCAAGGCTTTGCCAGGGCCACCCGTTTCTCGCTTCGCCCACGGTTCGTAACTGAAAAGTGAATCACCCAAAGAGAAGAGAAATGTCACACCCATGCAAAAGAAAGAAATCCAGCCTCGCCTGTCTTGAAGCTTGTTTTTATCATTTTACACAGTCTTTAGGAGAAAAATATGTATGTGAGGCTTTAGGAGAAAAATATGTATGTTCCAGACTCATCTGGTCTGGAACGTGGAGAAGAAGAGGATGAAAACACTGCAGAACACTCGTGAATGTGTATGATACCCAGGCTCTTGAGCTAGGGGAAATTTTTCCTATAGAGGTTCAGCCTCAGTGAGAAGAATAATAGTTCTTCTTGTGTATACATTGCTTTATAGTTTATGTAACACTTTGGTGGACATTTTACCTCATTTGAAACTTTAAACCCTGTGAGGTAAGTAGAATGCCTATTTCCTCACCTTACGGTGAAGGAAACTGACTTCAGAGGTCATGACTTGCCCGAAGACCCTCAGGTTTTTAGATCCATGCTTCTTCTGTATCAACTAACATTGGGATAGACATTTGCAGTGACCTAAGATCAAGAGAGTAACTCCAGGACTGCCCCTACTTCCTGGCCATTTCTTTTATCACCCATCTACTTCCAAGTCAAGGGTAGCAAGGCAAGAGGAACAATCAGAGAAAGTCTTCATAGCTAGACAGCTTGAAGCTACAGGGGAGGGCTCCTGTATATCACAGTAGTCAGCACCCTCCTCACCCTTCTCCCAAGGGAAGAAAGCCGTCTTTGAAGCCCATGGCTCAGCGAAGTAGCAGCAGGAGATGCTGTGTTAGTTCATTCTCCCTCATTATGTCCATTCCTTTGAGCTGCGTGTTACTGCTTCAGAGTGACTCAGAGTAACTCACAGCTTGTTTTGTGTTGGCAGCTATTGGAGCTCAAATCTCATTCATTTCACTTTTCCCTACTCTGTCTGTGTATATGATATGAGCATAGAAACAGCCCAGATGCCTCTGGGGGAAACCATCTCAGCAGCCAGGATTGGTTGCAAAAGAATAGGGGCATGTGTACCTGGGGACCCTTTCAGTCCTGATTCTGCCATAGCAGGCTACCATTGAGGTCTGCTGGGGAAAGCAGTGGAAAACTGAGGGTGAAAACTAGCTGAGGTTAAAGTATAAATGTCCACAAGTAGAGGGCAATTAACTGTATTCTGTCAATATAAGTTACGTTTTTGGTGTAGTGGCATGAACATGGCTCACTGCAGCCTCAAACTCCTGGGGTCAAGTGATCCTTTTTGAGTAGCTGGGACCCAGGCCATGCCACCACACTCAGCTACTTTTTAAATTTTTTGTGGAGACGAGATCTTGTTTGTTGCCTAGGCAGGTCTCGGCCTGCACATTGTTTTTGTTGTGGGAAATGCTTATGATATAATGGTGAGTGAAAAAAAGTCAGAATACAGGCTGGTTATGGTGGCTCACACCTCTTATCCCAGCACTTTGGGAGACTGAGGCAGGAGGATCGCTTGAGCCCAGGAGTTTGAGACCAGCTTGGGCAACATAGGGAGACCACATCCCTACAGAATTTTTTTTTTTTTTTGAGATAGAGTTTCATTCTTGTTGCCCAGGCTGGAGTACAGTGGTACAATCTCAGTTCACTGCAACCTCCACTTCCCAGGTTCAAATGATTTCCCACCTCAGACTCCCGAGTAGCTGGGATTACAGGTGTGTGTCACTACACTTGGCTAATTTTTGTATTTTTAGTAGAGGTGGGGGTTTTACCATGTTGACCAGGCTGGTCTCAAACTCCTGACCTCAGGTGATCTGCCTCTGTGGCCTCCCAAAGTGCTGGGATTACAGGCGTAAGCCACCATGCCTGGCCAGAAAAAAAATTGTTTTAATTAGCTAGGCATGGTGGTGCACTTGTAGGCTGAAGTAGGAGGATCCCTTGAGCCCAGGAGTTTAAGGCTGCAGTGAGCTGTGATTACACCACTGTATGCCAACGTGGGCAATAGAGCAAGACCCCAACTCACTGAAAAAAAAAAGCCAAACTATAGAATTTACAAAACATAGAATATACAGAACAGTCTCATCTTTTCTCTTTGTTTTTTAAAGAAAGGCAGCAAACGAAGTTAAAGAACATAAATCAAAAGATAGAAGAACCCATGGCCTTATAGAAGTCATTTAACCACATTCATCCCTGGGCCAGTGACTCTCCATCCAGAGTACAGGAGTTGTGAAAACTGCCTGCTAGGCTTGGTGTGAGCACTAAATGAGTGAGGGCAGGGGGAGCCCTTTGTCCAGGGCCCAGCACATCTTCAGTGTTGTGATGTTAGTGGAGATCACTGTGATGGAATTGTGGGTGACCGCACTACTTTGTATCTTTCTGTATTTCTACTTTTGTGCAGTAAACATGTATATAGTTTTATGATCAGGAAAAAGTTGTAGCTTTGTGTTGATTTTTCTTTTTTTTTGAGACGAAGTCTCACTCTGTTGCCCAAGCTGAGTGCAGCAATGTGATCTTGGCTCACTGCAACTTCCACCTCTCGGGTTAAAGCAATTCTCCTGGCTCAGCCTCCTGAGTGGCTGGGACTACAGGCACACACCACCATGCCCAGCTAATTTTTTGTATTTTTAGTAGAGCTGGGGCTTCACTGTGTTGGCCAGACTGCTCTTGAACTCCTGACCTCGTGATCAGCCCGCCTCAGCCTCCCAAAGTGCTGGGATTACAGATGTGAGCCACTGCACCTGGCTGTGTTGATTTTTCTTATCTCCTGCCCTCCCACTCCAAAAGAAAAGACATAAATTAAACTAGGAACTAAGAGGGATAAGTTAGACCTCACATTGCCACTAGCCCAGTGCTCTTTGAGAGAATCACATTGCTCTGTGTCATTCTAGGTGGCCCCAGCAGATGGCTTCTCTGATCTTGCCATGCAAGTAATGACATCTCCATCTAAGAACTACATTCTCTCTGTGATCAGTGGGAGCATCTGTATATTGTTCCTGATTGGCTTGATGTGTGGACGGATCACCAAGCGAGTGACACGAGAGCTCAAGGACAGGTAGAGCCACCTTGACCACCAAAGGAACTACCTATCCAGTGCCCAGTTTGTACAGCCCTCCTGTATAGCATCCCCACTCACCTCGCTCTTCTCAGAGGTGACACCAACACCCGTGTTAGAGCGTCAGCAGGTATCCACTGCGTTGTCCCGTCCAGCCTCCACTCATGTCCATGGTGTCCTCCTCCTCCTCACCGTTCGTGCAGCAGCAGCAGCTGGCCGCTGGGGTTCCTGCCTTTGTTGGCAAACTTGGGTTTACCTGCCTGTAGACAAGTCTCTCTTGTACCAACAGAACTACTGGTACTTCCAGAAACAACTCACCTGACCTGCAACTCAAAGGCTTTTTTTAAGAAAACCACCAAAAAACAATTTTTTTAAAAGAGAAAAACGTATATAGTAACGCATCTCCTCCAGGCTTCATTTGGGCAATGGGGTTATTTCTTTCGTATGAATGTGTAAAACCAAGACAGAACTTAGAGGGGAAGCCCTCTAAGTTGGGTGGTGACCCAGTGTGCCATTACTGAGGTGTCTTGTTCCTCTCTCAGAAGCACCTTGAGGCCGAGCCAGGGCTATGGTGTTCACCAAGGAGTGGGTGGGCAGCCGCTCCCCAGGCTGTGTGGGGTCCTGCTTTCTTCTGCTGAGAAGGTGACGCTTTCCAGTTTCTACCCTCATCAGCCATTGCCAGCCACAGCTCCAAGACCATGGGTATTCTATGGTCTCCTCACCTCATTAAAGCAAAGCATGAGCCTCCCTAGACAAGGGCAGCTGGGGAGGGGAAGGGACCGGAAGTTTGTGAAGTTGGACAGTCCACGCGTCTGCACAGAGAGGCTGGATTCCAAGTCCCCGAGTCCCCGAGTCCCTGGGCAGCAGGATCCCAGGAACCTTCCTTCTCCAGGGCAGCACAGGACTCAGCTGCCTCTGGACCGACCCTGCTCAGGCTACAGTCACTCCGGAAGCTCTGTCCTTCACGCTCTAACACATTGCGCTGTGTCATTCTAGGTGGCCCCAGCAGATGGCTTGGACTGTGGCGGGAGGGGTCCTTGAAGACTGGTGTGGGGAGCAGCAGGGCAGGAAGCGGGAGCTTGGAGTTTGACTCACTTTGCTTTATTTTTCAGGCTACAATACCGGTCAGAGACAATGGCTTATAAAGGTTTAGTGTGGTCTCAGGATGTGACTGGTAGTCCAGCCTGACCTTTCTACACACTCCAGACAAACTTCCCAGACAAGCTCCTTTGTGCCTCCGTGTGGAGAGGGTGTGGAAAGTTATCACATTAAAAGATGGAGGATTTGCTCCGTTTTTTTTCTTTTTGTCCGTTTGCTGCCTGTACCCACTCTAGTAGGCATTGGCTAATGTTGTCTTTTGTTGATTCATCAACCTTTGCAGAATATGGGCTTCATAGAAGCAGTGTTCTTGGCATCATTCCTCCAGTGTGGAGATGCCAAGTCTGGGGTGTGAGGGAGGAGTCCAGGCATCGTGGTTCAGCCTGGCACACCTTTGGTTGAGTTCGGGGCATGAAATCACAGTGGCTGCACAAGAAAGCAGTGTGTACAGTAGGAGATATATTTATATAATATATATTTTATTAACCTGTTAGATGTCCACAAAGTATTATAAATCACGTGCCTAAAACTGTCCACGTAGACCAAGGCCCACCCTTGGCGCCCTCCCCTCCCTGCTTCTGCTCTGCAGGGTTGGCACACGCTGCAGGACCCGAGCGACACTCATCTTCCCCGAAGGGTGTTCAGTACAAAGTGTGTCAGTTTGTGGATGCATTGATCCAAGTTACTCCTTGTCTAACCTGACTGACGTATATTTGAGTACTGTGGTTTTCTGTCTTTTTTTCCTATTTTGCTGCCCTTCCTGGAGGTAGTGGGTTCCAGAAGCCAACTGTCTGTCCTCCTGCCAAGTCATCAAGGGAAGCTGCTAAGCTGCTTAGTCTCCTTGGTCCTGCTCCTAGGGTCTTCCTGATTGTCTGCAGCTGTCTGGGATGCTTCAGCCTCCTCAAACTGGAAATGTGGGGTGCGAGCAGCACACCCCTTCTCCCACCACTGCCAGCCGGAGTGAGCGGCCAAGAGTTCTCTACAAGTTCCCCTAGGGGCTGGGGGCTGCTGAGGCTAATATCAAGAACCAGGAATGTCATGTATATGCAGGTTCCTACAGACGTGTCTGGTGTGGTTTGCAGGTAGGATGAATGTCCACCATTTGACCGGGTGGGGTATTCTTCATCTCTGCACTCTTCCTTTCCAGTGTGCATAAACCCTTACACTTCTTATCATCTTGATATTTGTGTTCTTTCCAAATTGAGAGAAAATCCCATTTGTCATCTGCAGATTTGGAAGTTTGATGAGGAATTTGGTTCTTGAAACATTTGTCATCTTTAGAAATGGTCAGAATAGAAAAGATAGCTCTGCCAGTATCTTCACTTGCTTATTACAAGAAAGTCTTTCGTCATTCTACTTGGAGCGTTTTCTGGTGACTGGCTCTTGAGAGGCCCAGGCAGGACCCTGAGCAAGTTTTTCTAAGTTCCAAAGCCAGCGAAATCTGAACTGGCCGCACTCATTGAGTCCCTCATTTGGCAAAATAAAACAGGACCGGGGCACCCCTGGTTCCTGGCTTCATAAGTCGGTTAGTTGGCTGAGACTGCTCAAGAAGAGTGACCATGATCTTTCTGTGGATGTGAGTGGGTGATGGACTCTGGCCTGTATCTCCTCTCCTGATGTCGAGCCCATGAACAGTAATAGAAGGAGAGGGCAGGGGTGTTGCCAAGGCTAAGGCTTCCGGTACTTGCTGACATTAAAGCAGCTGGGTCGCTGTCATCTGGACTTGCCAGTTCATGCCAGTGTCTTGACAGCTCTTATACACAGTGTGCTCCCAAGCCCTCTAGAGGCACCTGGAGCCTGGGCTGCCCAGCTGGAGGCACTGGAGTACTGAAGGTGAGCTGTGTGGACAAACTAATAAGAACAAGATGAACTATTCCCAGTGGAGCTTCTCCCACAGAAGGGGAGCTGTGTGAGGCCTTCACCTGGGTACATGCTGAACTTCTGCTGCTGTTGCTGCTGTCCCTAGACAAGCCTGCTAGCAAGAAGCGCCAGCAGGGGAGCCATGCATGCCATAGGCTTGGGATCACTCCAGGGAAAGCGATCTTCCCCACGGCCACCACTCCCAGCTCTAGTTCTGAGCCAGTACATCCTTGGAAGGTAGGATTTTAGGGTAGCCGGTGAGCTAGTCTTTAGTGAGCAGGTATTGACCTGAACACATTGCAGGCCTTCGGCTGTCTCATGCTGTGCTTACTCTTCTTGGGAACAGTAAGCCACTTAGCTGGCCGGGATGGGGATGCATCCTGGTGAAGGGACAGCTTTCCCTGAAGATGCCACAGAAAGTTACTGTCTGATTTTATTTGTTTCTGTTTCCTGAGATCAACTAACAGAGGAATCCAATGGTGAGGGTGTCTACATTCATGTTTTATGTTTTATCAAGGCAGATTGGAAAGGGAATTATGTGGCTGACTTCTGTTGGGCTTCCTAAGAGAAGATTCTCTTCTTAGGTCATTGTGGCTCCTAGAAGTGTCTCCTGTCCTCCTACCCTCCAGGCCTGTGGTGTGACTTCTGTCCCGAAGTTTCTACTACAGTGAGTCCTCTGGGGAGAGGAGGTTGCTTCACTGAAAAGAGGCCTTCCCTTCCCGTTTCCTCCCCTACCTCCTTAGAACATACTGTAAGAACTTAATCTAAGGAGAAAGAAGCTGGACTACAAACCTCAGAAGTCAGCCACAGTCAGCCTAAATTTTGGCTTATAAAAGCAAAAGAAGAATATGGTGGGTTTTTTTTAGATGGAGTTTTTGCTCTGTCTCCAGGCTGGAGTGCAGTGGTGCAATTTCAGCTAACTGCAACCTCTGCCTCCTGGGTTCAAGTGATTTTCCTGCCTCAGTCCCCAGAGTAGCTAGAATTACAGGCACACGTCACCACATCCAGCTAATTTTTGTATTTTTAGTAGAGACCGGGTGTCACCATGTTGGCCAGGATGGTCTCGGTCTCCTGACCTCATGATCCACCCACCTTGGCCTCCTAAAGTGCTGGAATTACAGGCATGAGCCACCGAACTTGGCTTTTTTTTTTTTAGGCAGAGTTTCACTCTTCTTGCCCAGACTGGAATGCAGAGGCGCCATCTCAGCTCACTGCAACCTCTGCCTGCCTCCCAGGTTCAAGTGATTTTCCTGCTTCAGCCTCCCAGGTAGCTGAGATCACAAGTATGCACCACCATGCCGGGCTAATTTTTTTGTATTTTTGTAGAGATGGGGTTTCACCATGTGGCCACGCTGGTTTCAAACTCCTAACCAGATGTGATCCACCCACCTGGGCCTCAGTTATGTGCATTTTGGTATATTGTATGTCAGTGTCTTGTGAGTTTGGAAAACCTGAAAGATCACAGTGCTTCCTTTTATTTCTCACCATTTGGGCAACACCTGAGCGGTTTTGTAAAATACAGCCACTGGTTCTGTGGGTCTCTCTGGGGCCTTGAGGGACACTTACTTCCTCCCCACTTGCCTTCTCTCCACTAGGCTTTGGTTCCCAGAAGGCCTGAGGCCAGGTCTAAGGTTCCTGCCTGCCTTCCCTCCCGTTGGTCTTTGCTGGTTCATCCCTCTGACTGCACCCCCTCTTGGTCCTTTCTCCGCATGCTTCAAATAATAGATAAGTTATTAGCAAACCAGACTGAATCTTCAGAGTGAAGAGCTCCCCAAAGCCATCTGGTGAGATCATTGTGGGGACCCAGGGACTGTTTGTCACCTGGATCATGAAGATGGGGCTGTCTCCTCAGGCTGGTGGTGACAGGATCCTAACGGGTGGTCCTCTCCCTCTCTGCTCTAGCACGACACACATGTAGGAGGCTGTGCTGTGTGCAGTGGAGAAATCTCCCTGGGCCAGGAGAAAGTTCAGACAGTGCCTCTAGATTATGTTTTGCCTTCCCCCAACGTAGAGTTGACATCTGGACCCCAGAGCCCAGCAGGGCCTTCTGTCAGACATGCTAGGGTGATATAAACTGCCTCCAGGTACCCCTGTGGTGTGCTGGGTGGAGGCCCACGGAGAGCCGGCAGTGGGAGAGCTTCCTGGGTAGCTTCCCCCAGCACGGTGTTCCCAAGCCAGTCCAGCCGGAAAACAGACTGTACAGCAAATGCTGTGTGGGATCTTAGGCCTTTCACTTTTTTTTTTTTTTTTTTGAAAGAAAGAAAAAAGTACAATTAACAAGCCTCTTTTGTAAATGGGTTTCCTTTCTATGTATAAAATCCTAGCGGTCCCTTGTTTTTACATGTCCATGCTGTGTAATTTTGAGATGTTACTGAGATATGTTCTGAACATAATGTGCATTTTTTTCTGTACAGATGAAATGGGAGAATTTAATAAAGAGTTTGCAGGTTTTTACTTGTTAAATCTTCTCTGTGGTAACTGGAAGGAAGCTCTACAACCTCTCTGCTAGTGGAAGCAGTGACCATGACCTTGCCAGCTGATGTTCACAAACCTTGCTTATCAGGTCTTTCATTCTTGGCCATTTAGATCCAGCAGAATAGCATTGGAGGACTGTTGGAGGACAGGGGACCTTGATCCCCTTGGTTTCTGTATGCTAGTGGCAGAGCTGGAAGTCACATCTGGGGTTTTCTAACTCTTGAGCCAGTGTGTCCAGAATTAATCATTCTGCTGATATGTTTAAGCCCACGTCATGAGGCTCTGTCCTGGAGAGAGCAGAACCTGGTAGCTCTGCCTACAGATCTGACATGTGAATGGCTGGTCGTGAGAAGCGCCTGGTCTTTCTGGCCACTCTTCCCCCTCAGCCCCTTGTCAGTCCTCTCCCTCACATCTCAGCAGCCCAGTCCCTACATCAGTAGTTGTCACCAGACCCCCTCCCTGAGCTTTTTCTGCTGCTGCTTCTGCTCTCAGCAAAGTTAATTTGCATCTGCGTGTTAAAAATGAACAGATTGAGGAATGTGCATGGTAGCAGGGGTTCCTTGAAGTAGTAATATCCCTACTATGATTTGAGGAATGGGATGAGCTGCTAGAGGAGGCAGTTACTTGGGACCCAGGGTTTGTTCTCAGAACTCACCCCCTTCATAGGCAGCTGCCACCTAGGAGGTGGTGGGCCCGGACATAGAGGAGAGTTTGGGAGAGGTGAAGAGTAGAGGAGGAAGGAGAAAGAGGGACTTGGGGGCCTTGTGAGTCCTCACTGCAAATCTCACTTTGTCTAGGGAGCCCAAAGCAGCCATCAGTCTCTGCATGTGAGGAGCCTATCTGTGAGTGTCTTGGAGAGGCTGCCTGCTTTGATCTAAGCTTAGGAAGGTGGGCTCCATGTTCAGGCTCCTGTTACCACTGCACCCTACAAGGGAGATTTTGGTTCACCTACCCACTTCCCCAGCTCCTCTCTGCCCCATTAGTGAATGCCACAGCCCCAAAGGCCCTGGCAGCTGGTGATGGAGACAGCTGCCCAGCTGAAGCCTCAGCAGCCTGAATGTATTATGCCACCCTGACATTTTATATGTGAAGATGTTTATGGTAGAGACTCCATGGCCAGCCTAATCCTCAGAGGCATTTGGAATTTGTCCTCAAAGAGGGCTAGGAATTAAAGGGTTGTAGCCAAAATGAGAACCTTAGACATCAACTCTCACTTGATGAAAGAATGAGGTACATACAGAAAAGGGAGGCCCTTCTCAGATAGCTGACCAGCAGTGCCCAGGAGTACCTGCCCACCAGGTACTGTTCCTCTCACTGGCCAAATTGGCTTGGGGATCTGGATGACCAAACTAAAACCCCAGCTTCCATTAGGTTGCAGGGGAAGATAAGAAGAACATCACCAACCCAGGAGCCTGTACACTCCCTGGACAGGCCTGCCCTGGGAGCTCTCGGCCTCAGCCCTAGATTCCCACCTTCCTTGCCCACAGCAACCCACGGCACAACTCTGTCTCCTCGAACACCCTGTACTTGGGGAGACACTTGGACGATGTGGAAGAGAAAAGTGGGGAGGAGAGGGGCAACGTCTCCCAGGCAGCAGACTAGGAGGAAGCTGGCCCAAACAAGGTAAGAGGCTAGAGCACAGGCAGCTCCTCTAAGGACTAGGCCGTTGCTAATGCTTTGCTGTCATACACCAGGGCCCTGGCAGGAGTATACCTTTCTCCTGCCTGAGTCCTGGAGCCGTGACCTCTCCTTGACCCTTTTAGCTGATAGACCCCTTAGGGTGGGCCACATAGCAACGATTTCTCCAGAGAGCAACCAGTATCAGGCCATAGAACTGAGCTGCACCCAACAGCCCCAGGTAGCAGTAGGGTACGGCAGTGAAGGTCTGTTCATTTCACTGCGGGACACACAGGTCCAGGTGAAAAGTTGGGCAGGCCCCTGACGTTGCGTTTTCATGGTATTTTCCTGTATGCCACTGCCACCTCCCGAAGAGCCAGCTCTCTGGCTCACTTACTCTCTGGGAGGTTGTAATATCCCCATTTTATAGATGGAAAAGTTAGGCTTAAGTTCTGTAAGGACAGCAGTGATTTCTTTTTTGTTCACTCTGTAGCCTTATAACTGGGTGTAATAGGTAGGCAGTGGATCTGAGGCCCAGAGAAGGTAAAAGACTCACCAGAGAGGCCCCAGAAAGCTGGGGAGAGAACCAGAGACTGGGTCTAATACTTTCTCAGATGTTTCTTTTGGTTTGAGACAGTCTCGCTCTGTTGCCAAACTTGGAGTGCAGTGGCGTGATCTCGGCTCACTGCAACCACCACCTCCCAGGTTCAAGTGATTCTCCTGCCTCAGCCTCCCAAGCTGGGATTACAGGCACATGCCACCATGCCCAGCTAACTTTTCTATTTTTTGTTCAGTCGGGGTTTCTCCATGTTGGCCAGGTTGGTCTCAAACTCCTAACCTCAAGTGATCCACCCACCTCGGCCTCCCAAAATGCTGGAATTACAGGCGTGGGTTTTTTGTTGTTGTTTTGTTTGTTTTTGAGACAGTGTCTCACTCTGTCACCTAGGCTAGAGTGCAGTGACAGTCTCAGCTCACTGCAACCTCTGCCTCCCAGGTTCAAGCAATTCTCCTGCCTCAGCCTCTCTAGTAGCTGGGATTACAGGTGCCCACTACCATTCCTGAATAATTTTTGTATTTTTAGTAGAGACAGGGTTTTGCCATGTTGGCCAGGCTGATCTTAAAACTCCTGACCTCAGGTGATCCTACCCGCTTTGGTCTCCCAAAGTTGCAGAGATTACAGGCCTGAGCCACCTTGCCTAGCCTGTGAAGTTCTTAAGATGGAAATTTTTTTTTTTTTTTTTTTTTTTTAAGATGGAAATTTACAAAGGAAAATGAAAGCCAAAGGTGAGGTTTTTGTTTTAAGTGAGTTGCAGAGGCAACAATAACTGAAGGGTCAGGATTGTGGAGAGGAGAGCTGACTGCAGCCACTTGCATTTGCCAACTTTGGCCAGAGGCTGAGGATCCAGGTTTTTTGTGTTTTTATAGTCTCAACAGCTGGAGTGACAAAATTTAGAGGCTTGAATGGCTTCAAATAGATGACTAGGTCTCAAGCCATTTGGGCAATCTGAATACGTACAAGATGGGAACCTAAAACACCAAGCCCAGACCTCTAAAGCAGAGCAGTATTTTGCCAAGTCACAGTGTTGAAGTAGATAGTTTTCAAGGCCTCTCAAAAGGAGGGAACCTGGTGAATACAACGGGATTTCAGTTGAAAGACTTGGAGAGCTAGGCCCTGGGAACAGAGGCAAGTGAGAAGTAGATAAAACCCTATCAACACTACATCCCATAGACCTCAAACTAATAAACACAGAAGGAATTACAGAATTAGAAAGTCAGCATTTGACCACCACTCTAGTAAAACTGTCTCAAGCAAGTCGCATCAGTGGATAAAAACTAGTAGGGCGGGGCATGGTGGCTTATGCCTGTAATCCCAGCACTTTGGGAGGCCAAGGCAGGTGGGTCTTTTGAGGCCAGGAGTTCAAGACCAGCCTGGCCAATATGGTGAAACCCCATCTCTACTAAAAATACAAAAATTAGCTGGGTGTGGTGGTGCACGCCTGTAATCCCAGCTACTCAGGAGGCTGAGGCAGAAGAATCGCTTGAACCAGGGAGGTCTTAGAGGTTGCAGTGAGCCAAGATCGTACCATTGTACTCCAGCCTGGGCAACAGTGAGACCCTTAATTTTTTTTTAATTTAAAAAAAAAAGATATCAGTTGATGTAGCTATACTATATCAGACAAAGTAGACTTTAAGACCAGAAAACATTATTTGAAATAAAGATGTACACTTAATAATGTAAAGGAGCCAATCCATCAGAAATACGTAGACCCAACCATGCCATTCATTCTATTGTAAATGGTCTAAATGCCTTTATATGGTTTGGCTCTGTATCTCCACCCAAATCTCATGTTGAATTATAATCCCCAGTATTGGAGGAGGGCCCAGGGGAAGATGACTGGATCCTGATAGCAGACTTCCCCCTTCTCTCTCTCCTGCTCTGCCATGGAAGATTTCCCTGCTTTCCCTTCACCCTCCCCCATGATTGTAAGCTTCCTGAGGCTTCCCCAGCCATGCTTCCTGCAGATCCTGCAGAACTGTGAGTCATTTAAACCTCTTTTCTTCATAAATTACCCAGTCTCAGCTAGTTCCTTATAGCAAAGCAAGAACAGACTAATACTTTAATTAAAAGTCGGACTGGATTTTTAAAAATAAAACAGCGGCCGGGTGCGGTGGCTCACGCCTGTAATCCCAGCACTTTGGGAAGCCGAGGCAGGCGGATCACGAGGTCAAGAGATCAAGACCATTCTGGCCATCATGGTGAAACCCCGTCTCTACTAAAAAATACAAAAATTAGCTGGGCATGGTGGTGCGCACCTGTAGTCCCAGCTACTTGGGAGGCTGAGGCAGGAGAATTGCTTGAACCTGGGAGGTGGAGGTTGCAGTGAGCTGAGATCATGCCACTGCACTCCAGCCTGGCGCCTGGCAACAAAACAAGATTCTGTCTCAAAAAAATAAAAACAATAAATAAAACAGCCTAGGTAACACAGCGAAACCCCCCATCTCTATAAAAAAAGTTTGTTTTTTTTTTAATTAACTGGGTGTGGTGGTTTGCACCTGTAGTCCCAGCTACTCAGGAAGCTGAGGTGGGAGCATAGCTGGAGGCTGGGGAGGTTGAGGCTGCAGTGTTCCGTGATCACACTGCCCTCCAGCCTCGGGGTGACAGTGAAAGCTTCTCTCAAACCAGTTATTTTAAAAAGCTGTACAGCCTGGGCAACATGGTGAAACCTCATCTCTACAAAAAATACAAAAATTAGCCAGATGTGGTGGTACATGCCTATAGTCCAAGCTACTTGGGAGACTGAGGTGGGAGGATCACCTGAGCCTGGAGTGAGCTGTGATCATGCCACTGCCTACTGGAGCTCCAGCCTGGG